CAAAAGTAAAACTATCCCCCCTCACTCCTCCCGACAAAATATAGATCAAAAGTAAAACTAAACAAAATATAGATCAAAAGTAAAACCCCCCTCACTCCTCCCGACAAAATATAAATCAAAAGTAAAACTATACCCCCCTCACTCCTCCCGACAAAATATAAATCAAAAGTAAAACTATCCCCCCTCACTCCTCCCGACAAAATATAAATCAAAAGTAAAACTATCCCCCCCTCACTCCTCCCGACAAAATATAAATCAAAAGTAAAACTATCCCCCCTCAATCCTCCCGACAAAATATAAATCAAAAGTAAAAATCCCCCCTCACTTAAAATCAAAAGTAAAACTATCCCCCCTCACTCCTCCCGACAAAATATAAATCAAAAGTAAAACTATCCCCCCTCACTCCTCCCGACAAAATATAAATCAAAAGTAAAACTATCCCCCCTCACTCCTCCCGACAAAATATAAATCAAAAGTAAAACTATCCCCCCTCACTCCTCCCGACAAAATATAGATCAAAAGTAAAACTATCCCCCCTCACTCCTCCCGACAAAAAATAGATCAAAAGTAAAACTATCCCCCCTCACTCCTCCCGACAAAAAATAGATCAAAAGTAAAAGTATCCCCCCTCACTCCTCCCGACAAAATATAAATCAAAAGTAAAACTATCCCCCCTCACTCCTCCCGACAAAATATAGATCAAAAGTAAAACTATCCCCCCTCACTCCTCCCGACAAAATATAAATCAAAAGTAAAACTATTCCCCCCTCACTCCTCCCGACAAAATATAAATCAAAAGTAAAACTATCCCCCCTCACTCCTCCCGACAAAATATAGATCAAAAGTAAAACTATCCCCCCTCACTCCTCCCGACAAAAAATAAATCAAAAGTAAAACTATCCCCCCTCACTCCTCCCGACAAAATATAAATCAAAAGTAAAACTATTCCCCCCTCACTCCTCCCGACAAAATATAAATCAAAAGTAAAACTATCCCCCCCTCACTCCTCCCGACAAAATATAAATCAAAAGTAAAACTATCCCCCCTCACTCCTCCCGACAAAAAATAGATCAAAAGTAAAACTATCCCCCCTCACTCCTCCCGACAAAAAATAGATCAAAAGTAAAAGTATCCCCCTCACTCCTCCCGACAAAATATACATCAAAAGTAAAACTATCCCCCCTCACTCCTCCCGACAAAATATACATCAAAAGTAAAACTATCCCCCCTCACTCCTCCCGACAAAATATAGATCAAAAGTAAAACTATCCCCCCTCACTCCTCCCGACAAAATATAAATCAAAAGTAAAACTATCCCCCCTCACTCCTCTCGACATCCTCCCGACAAAATATAAATCAAAAGTAAAACTATCCCCCCCTCACTCCTCCCGACAAAAAATAGATCAAAAGTAAAACTATCCCCCTCTCACTCCTCCCGACAAAAAATAGATCAAAAGTAAAACTATCCCCCCTCACTCCTCTCGACATCCTCCCGACAAAAAATAGATCAAAAGTAAAAGTATCCCCCTCACTCCTCCCGACAAAAAATAGATCAAAAGTAAAAGTATCCCCCCTCACTCCTCCCGACAAAAAATAGATCAAAAGTAAAACTATCTTTTAACCATGTTACTCTTCAAATGATTTAAATGTTGGTATGTAGGGTTATAAAAGAAGTTTTATTTTCTAGCAGCCATCTTTTCTGGGACGTCTCTATTACTGTCAGTGTCACGTGTCCCCTCCTTATATATGTCAGTAGAGCAGGTAAGTACACTAAACGTTAATTTTACATATCTGGTATACAGATGTCTAAGCCCAACAATCGAAGACAGCACCAGTAGCTATTAATAATGTCATTAACTGACCACTGGTCAGTTAAGGCCTCTAACATAAGTAGGGGAGTGCGTAATCTTTGACATTGTTCTTCATAAACCCGCCAAAAGGTAGCGAACACTTTTGGTCAGATAGGGTCAGTTTGTACATATGTATACCCCTGGCTATTGATGTCAATGGTCCTTTACCTATCCCTTGTTCGTTACGTCATACTACCAATTATTTGTGAATAACTCAGCAATTAAGACGACAGGTATTTATCCTGCCCTTTGTTCAATGTTACGGTCTGTCACGCTTCACAGCATTGTTATTAATATGTAACCTATATGTCTTTGTATGCATGGCTTATATCTACCAAATCTATGTTAAATGTAAATATAAATTATATAGTTTAGGCATTTTGCTTCTATTTGAAAAACTCCAACACAGAAAAAGTTAGTGAATAAGAAATATCCAAACTGTCAAATCTCTTTCGTCTGATAAAATAATAGCTGTCTTTTATAGTGTTATCTAACTGCCTCGATCATGCTGATTTGCCAGTGGGCGGTTATCTTAAATCAAATTTCTCTGAAAATTATCATTTTTGAATCAATTTTATAATTGCAACAACATACGTCAAATGTTAAATTACAAAATGTCTCCTTAATGAGAGAAAAAAAACAAAACAAAAAACAAAAACAAAACAAAAAAAGGAACAAATTATTTTCTTCGTTGAATGATTATCTATTTAACGTGTCCTACATGGAATTATATATCTGACCAACATGTTGTATCCTTAATGCGGTGAAAGAAGATCTCTCAATTGCTGTATATTTCATTGGGTTCGAATCGGAACAACAATATTCTTTCATAATTAGAATATTACATTATCTCATAGAACTATAATATGTCTTTTGATATGTCCATATTCTTAGTGTTAAATTCATATTTGTAATACGTCATAACAATGTCACCATGGAGTATATGACGTCATGAGTATTGTCGTCATCGTTGTTAATTCACTAATATATAAGCTATACTTTTTGGAATAACTTGTCAGGGAACATCTGTTTCCGTGCCTTATATTGATACATTGGTCAGTAAATAGCATAGATACTGTCAGAGATTGTGGTTTATCTTATTTTGGTAAGTAAACAGCATCAATATGGAACTATTATCAGAGAAGACAAAATGGGTAAATCGAAATAAACTAATTGCCAACAGGACAAAACAGACACAGAAATGAGAACGACCCACACAAACAGGTGCTTTACAATGGGAAGTATGTTTTAATCCAAATTAATTTCAATTTCAAAAAAAAGTTATTGTTCATAAAGGGCAAAGGAATAGGGTATCAGACAATGGCCTATTGAAGCCTTCTCCCAGCAACTTCTGGATGGCAATATAAAGTAATTATTAAACACATACAGACAATACATAACAGATAGGTATACAACAGTGTCTCCATTTCCCTACTGGAATACATACAATTACTTTTAGTCAAATCTTTTAGTGCCAATTATATGTTCTGATATACATTACAATAAGAATGTATCTATTTCTTCTTCACATTCATGACACCATTTAATTAATACATTAATATTAAAACGGTCATGGGTAATATTTTGGTTTATCAACTCATTTGAAAGAATTACTCTTGAATGGTTGTAGAGTGGACAGGCAAAGGAGTAACATGCTGTCTAATTTACAAGAACATAACGGAGAATCTTTTAACTGATCCAGAAAGAGACCACAGTTCAAATTACTGACATCATTTCTGAGTTGACACATGATTATATTTATTCGACGGATACCATTATTTTGAAACGTTTTTGTTGTGGCAGAAACAGCTTCATCATATTTTCAAGAGTAGATGTTTCAATTGTGATAACGAGTTAATATTGATAAATCAAAATTAAGAGTAAATGAGTTAAATTCTCTAAATGTAGGCGAAAAAACTACTATAATAGCCAGCTGTTCTACATATTGGAATATTAAGCGCCTAGTAGTCTGTAATGTTCATCCTTCATTTTCATTGGTATATATACAAGGTTCCATGATGTCTTTCAAATATTGTAGAGCTAAGTCTCGAAGTGTCTTAAACATTAATAATAGTTAATGTTTTTGAGAAAGATATTCCCTGTCAAGTTTGATATAATTTGTTAAATTAACCCCTAACTGATGAGGGAAAGTCAGTATTAACTGCTTTTGGCTTGTATGCCTTTTGTGCGATCTTTGTGAATGTAACTTGTTTACACATCATTATATTTCATAATATTTCTAGATATAGGATTGAAAGGCAATAAAGTGGCCCATCTTAAGGGCAACATTATTGATTTTATTTATTAATTTATTCAATTTATGTTTTGGGCTTCTGACTAAGTTATAGCAACTTGTTTGCTATATTCTAAAAGTATGCTCCTGGATTCCTGCACTGTGTGATGACGTATCTTTATCAATATCAGACTAACTATACATAAGACTTTAAACTGTTATGAAAACGAAGCAGATTTTTTTGTTCCGACGGATGGATGAAGTTTGGGTTGTAAGCGATCACATTTACAATTGTTTCTAATATGTTTTGGCTCGGCGACTTCATCATTTTGTACTTGTTACATAGATACGTTATAAAGATATTGCATTTATTATTCTATAACCTTTCTATAAGTTCACATTTCTGATAAAAAATGACAATTTTATTAATAATAATATTTTTTCAAATATTGATATCATAAATTCATTTTTCAGAATATTTGAATAGAACAGTTACAACATTTTACAAACAAATAACTATTGGATATCGTTATTTGATAATTCCTACAATATTCAACGAATCAAAATTCCCCATGCCTGGCCTCTTAGATCTGACCAATGACAAAACAAGAACTCTTTCATTCTCTTTCATAATTATGAATTAGATAAAACAATTTCTGCAACATATGCAATAGACAATAATACCTGCATTGTGCGGATGAACATGTATATTTATAATACCCCCATCGTGAGCCCCAGTCTACTGACCAATGCCGCGTGGTGACAAATGCGATCATAAATTATGGTAATGAGCTATATAAAATACGGTGTGCATTCCCCACTACACCCATAGTGTTTCTGCTGGTCAGTACTCGGTCTTCTAGATTTGCCCGCAAGTTGCTATTTTCGCATTTAGACGGGAGAGATCTGTTATCGTCATGAGGGTATCACTGATTTTCGGGACTATTATCCTGGCTATAGCTGTTGGTGAGTATTTTCTACATTCATTTTCTCATCATCTCATAAGATAAGATTTGAATTTTGCGTTCTCACTGTGTTAAAAAAGTGAATATTGGTTATTTAAATTAATAAACAGTTTCAACTATGGTTTTAGTATCTTTATAATGTTAGGTTTCCCTTTTCTTATACTATTTTATACAATTAGAATATTCTTTAGGTAAACAAAACTATCAGTGTTCTTTTTATGATCTATTTAATATCAATGATATGGAGACGATTATTATAACCAAATACGAATTTTTAATTGTAATAAAAAACATGATTCAAACTGATTTTTTAGCCATTTTTGTCATATTTACTTAGTTTATTATTTTTTGTTTTACAGCCAGCGCACATGGACGTAAGTATTCTCACACAGTTTTAATTCATATGAGGGGGAAATCAAGGCTCCTCCTAATCCTAACCCGTATTAATATGCTTCTCAATTTTGTGAGGAAAGTAGAGGGTATATATGGGCCGAGGGGGTATACTGTAAATGCAACTAAATAGCAGTATTGATTTGCGATAGCTATAATTTAAGGTAGAAACCAATGCTGAAGAAATGAAAAAAATAATACATTTTTTCGCTTAAGGTATTATTCACTTCAAATAAATCTTTAGTTATGAATTTTCAATAGTTATTAAGTTACAGCCGTGACGATTTGTGATTTAAGACTGAGAAAATGCTGTACTTTTTACTATATTTGTTGATATTACAGCCTAACGTAAGTAACATATACCAAGTCTATGTCCAAAGTTCTGCAAAATGCAAACCTAATTATCTAAAATATTTGACAGGATGAAAAAAACAATACTGTTACATTATATTTACTGGATAAGACATCTGGTTAATAACTACATTGTTTATTGAGTACAAAAACTAATGTTTGTGTAATGATCCTTAAAAAAATAAATCAAAATGTCGTTCAGCCATTCATATTATGCCTATATTGCAACTATTTAGGACAATAAATGAATGAAAAAAAATGTTTTGGTACATTAAAAAACAATGCACCAATACAGTGACACAAGACTATATTAGAGTATTAAATTGTCAACAAGTCGAACTTTAATGTACTTGTAATTACGTATCAATACTAACTGTAAAGGAAACCGATACACATGCCTGGCTTCTGCCCGGTTAATGAGCGGAACTCGTGACTACACACTAATAATAAAACCAAATCCGAACACTTTTTTTACGTGATCAACATGACGTGATGACAACAGAGACGTAGGAATGTTTTACAGTAATCATGGACAATGTACATATGGCCTCGATACACCTGAATGTGTGTGGAGACCAATTAAAGATGTCATCAGACACTAAATCATATATATGATACTGGAAGCCTGATTTGTAGTCAGCAGTATTCAAAATATTATACTTATCTTGCATTAAAGGGCATGATTCTCACGCTCTTAATTAAGCTCGTGAGAGGCAGTGGGTCTTGAGTTACAGAGAGATATACGAGTACTTTAAGACAAGTGGTCTTAACAGACTGTAGGAAATTGTTATAGATAGGAATACAGCGTTTGTACAGAGATGATGTTTTTTGAAGTTTTCTTTTGGAGACAGGTGTTATTTATTGACAGATGACATATAAAGATAGGTGAAAATGGTTAAGTGGTCTCTTTAGACAGGAGTTCTTTATAAACAAGTGGTCTTAATAGACTGTAGGGCAATTACATTGATAGGGAGATTGATCTTGTACATAGGGGACTTTCATGGACAGGTGACTTTTGTAGATGGTTTGTCTTTAAAGAAAGGTAGCCTTCATGATGAAAATAAATAAATATATTTCATGAAACAAAAAACATATGTCAAAATGTTTGATTAAAATTATGTTTATACAGAAAAATATTGCAAATAAATGTTCAACTGGCGAAATAGCATTTCAATCAGCAGTGTTTTGATAAATTTATTTTTGATTTCTTAAACAAATCAGAAAAAGGGTAAAAGAAATATGTCTTTCGCCTTTATGCATTATAATGATGTTAAATCTGTTTTCATCATATTAAAATAAAAGTGATATTTTCAAAATTGACCAAATGCTAATGTATCCTGTCCTTTAGTTTAATTAGTGTATCATCTTAATTATCATTATTATATAATTACGTTGTATTTCAAAACTATGTTCATCTTTTTTCAGTATTTGCGAGAAAGTACAAAAAACGTAAGTACCCAATACTTTGACATATTTCTTATCTCTAATCTAGGATGAACTAATGTATGGATTTGATTTCAGCTTCAACTAGGTAATAATCGTGATATTTTGCTTATTGTCGATGATAATAAGGGCCTCTCTTATTACTGATGCAAAATGTTGAGGCTATTTCATGACTTCCTTGAAAAATACATTTGCAGTTAGGTTTTGGTTGATCCACGAAATGTCAAACAAAACGAAAGTTAGATTTTTATTTTCGTGATATAGATTTTTAGTTAATAGATTCGAGTTTTTTCGAATGTTAATACACTACTGCAGATTTTCGTTTTGATGTCGTTCACTGTGATGGAATTCACTTTGTTGATGCAATAGACACAGTTAATCATAAAGGATATGCCATACACTGGCGTGTTCGAGTTTATAGCGTACAGAAATATAGCCAGGAATGCTAGTTCTCTGCTATAAAATTGCCATAAGCTGACAAAGACATTTTCATTGGCAACTCGGTGTCAACAGTTATACACAAAGCCTTGTCTCTATAACTGGATGATTATGTTTTGTGATCGACAGCCGCCCCAGGCCGATGTTCCAAACCGCTATCTGACCATTGTGTCTAGGCGTTAAGTAGTATTGATATGTAGAAGGTTCTCTTTGCACTCTTCCCTATGAACACGAAGTTTGAACTTTCAGGACTATTTGTTCAATCTTGCAGAGTTTATTTTTTTAATATTTTTTAAAGCAACATAAACATTTTTCAGAGTTATCGATATAACTTAAGATATGTATCTTACATTTTCCGGAAAAAATACTCATTAAATTCGTTACTAGTAATACCGCTAACCAGAAAGTTTTACACTAAAATATTTTTGCTTACAGTTCTTCCTGTCAGTAGTAAGTATCGATAACATAACATGTCGTTCTCTATTCCATTTTGATAATTTAATAATTTGAAAAAAAAATAATCAAATGCTTATGATTTTCTGTGAATAAAGATTCGTCGTTTTCTCTATCTATAACAATGCATTTTTCACCATTTTTTTATCTCGGATATTTTTTTCTTTGTTATTTGATTCCACATACCATCTTATAAATGTAAATATGCATATTTTATCAGTAGTCTTTTCATCCATGTCGTTATAGACACATATCTTAAATCTTGCAGTTTATATACTTTCTTCATAAAGATATGATAAAATTGTCAGAGCGAGATCAAACAGTTTGTTGACTTATTTGCATAGAATCATATGCCAGACAAATCAGAAGGTATTACCGACCATACCAACAAAGGATTCAAAACACATTTAAAGGTTGGTAGCGCGCATTCGCGAGAAAATAAACCATGCATCATCTGCGTCTACATTTCTAAGCAGTTCATTTGACGTAATTAATTTCGATCCCAAGTCATTGCTGTCTATAAATCGACTTTTATCAATGAAAACATTTATTGAATTAATTAATTTATACGAACACTTATATATTAAGACAAACTTGCAATTGAAAAAAAAAGAAAGTTATATAAAAAAAAATCCTATTATTCATTATTATTGATATTTTTGTAGATTTGTAAAACATTTGGTACTAAACATTATAACAACTTTTTAGGGAGTTATCGCAGAAGTTATGGTAATAGAAAAGCCTATGCTGCTCCGAAAATGAGACCACTCTACAGGAGAGGTTCGTTGGCGCTTGTAGGCGTGTATCGATAACGTGTGTAGCTGCTGGCACCCGTAGCTTGTGACCAAACACTGTGTACATGCACGTATATGTCTGTAACTTTAATTAGATGTGTACTTAACGCTTTTCGTGATAACACATGTGTTTGGTTGGTTTTACGTACTGTTTTGTGTGTAGAAATTAAGGCTTTAATTGTGTTTTGCTAGCTTTTTTGTTTGTTTTAACATCACTTTCTTAGTCCCATTTGTTGTTAATGTATCTAGCATCATCTGGTCAGCAAAAAAAGATGGACTATGTCGCTTCAGGTTATGAAAACAGTTTTGAACGAATATTTGATTCTCGCAGGGCTAATACACATCATATTGTAGCATGACAATATTTCAGTTGAATTTGATGAAACGTATTTTGTTTTTCAAATTCAACAATTCAATTAAAACCGAGAAATAAAAAATTGCACTGCAGCCAATATTTATAGAAATCTTGAACGGAATGCAGGTATGAAGATCATTTATCAGGTTACAATGTAAATGAGATTTGGATTGTAAGCATTATCTGATTTATTGTCAAGAAAATTAAAATATAAAGGTATGCTCTCTATAAAGACCCCGTGATAGCATAGAGGTTTATTTATGAAATATCAGTATCGATATTAAAATTGTACAAGCATACACAGCACAAAGCATTATCTGGCAAGCCTATTCATACTGTAGCCTTACTTATAACACTGAGCAAAGTATAAGGTAGAAACATCTGCATTGTGGGAAAATTTGACAGTACTGTTGCTGACAGGACAATTAAGGGGTCAGGTTTATCTTCGGTCACCTGTCGTGTGATTGTCCAGAGTGACCACTTTTATTATAGGTTTACTAGCACCATAACTCTGTACTTATATATCATCCATGAATCCATCATATATTTCTGATAAAGACTTAAGGACATTTGTTACCTTAATACATAAGGCATCTTCGGAAACATTTTATGACCAAAAATGATATTAATTTCACAAGTCGTAATTAGCGCAATTATGCAAATATGTTTTGACGACTAAAGTAAAATTTCAACTGGAAGATTAACAATTGATTAAGATTGTTATACACCTGTGGTAATGGTGATATTGTGATATATATGAACATCGAAGTTACACATATACATATACCGTTTAACATTAATATAGGTAAGTAATGCATTAACATCGTTCATACCGTAATAACCCGAGGTTTGTTGTGTCATTACCGATGTCATTATCATCCGTAGTAGATATTTGTTGTTTTGTCCTGTAAACAAGGTGAATGTTTCCTTTTAGATAATATACTCGATATATTATTTGCACTGCTAAACAAATTGAAGTGAATGCCTCTTTCTGTTCTGATTCAATGTATATAATTGCCTATAATGTAATGAGTTCATATCAAGAGAGTGAAATCTTAAATTTAACAATTCCAATCATATTATTTCAAAATCAGGAAAGATATATATCATAAAAACTGCAGTATCAGATAAAAAAAATATTTTTACACTTTATCTTAATTAATGTTTCTGGTTTTTTTTATTAATTTCAGTGCCTATCATGAAACCAAGTAAGTAGAAAACATGAAAATCATCGTTAATGAAAATCAAATTTATGTATTTCACTGCTTCAGTGTTTATATTATGGGAACTCATGAAAATCGTGGTAAAGTGTTGATTGAGAAATATATAACCGTATAATGATATAAGTTTAATAAAACTATTATATCTTGTTTGGAATATAGATCATGTGTAGTTCTGAAAATGGAAAGTAATAGTTATACAAAATGATGCTTAATAGGATTTTTTATGAGAAAGTAACATTTTTTCTGTATTCATTTTTGTGTTCCCGCCGGAAATAGTGACGATATACAAGAAAAGTAAGTATTTCTAATAAAAAAAATTGAAAAATGTATTCAAATGTACTATATTTATATTCTCTACATACTTTTTAAACGTAGATTGTTAAGCAGTTTCCGAAAAATGCACTTTCAAGGTCAAGTAAATTTTCTGATATTTAAGACTTGCTCTTTGTCGGTATTCTTTTAATATCGACATGAAATATAAATATACTCTTAGTTAACATGACTTGATAGGCATAACTGGCGAAACATTAGTTTGTCATGGAAACGGATTATTACATTACATGATTTGTGATTTGAGAAAAAAAAATACGAAAAATATTTCAATATTACCTTAAAATATTCACCCTAGTATTTTAAGGTTTATCTATTGACACTCTACCGCATATTGCGAAATGTTTTCTACAGTTCATATGTTTACAAGATAATAAATATTTGGCGTTCACTTTTTTCTTTTTTCTAATCATTTACGTTTCTTTTGTTAACAGTCCCGATTTACAAGCCTATTATAAAAACAGGTGAGTAATCTCCCTTTTTGTATTTCCGTATTAGTTTAGCACCTAATGGTAGGAATAGCTGTTGACATAACCAAGCGTTTTGATACTTATTGAAACAAAAGTAATTGTGTCTCTCTTTTTAATTGTTATTGATTATTAATTAATTGTAATACTGACAAAAGTTGATGAATCAATATTTCATTTTGCATTTTGAATAAAAGTGTTTATGTTATGTTCCAGTTGTAAAGAAAGTTCCATACGTGAAGGAAGTACCAGTTATCAAGACAGTTTACAAAAATAAATTTATTCCCAAAACCGTCCGAGTCGAGGTACCCGTGGCAAATCCTATCCGTATACCAGTAGAGGGTATGTGTCTCACCTTAAGGGTTATATCTTCAATGACGTATTACTGCGATGCACTATTATTCCTTTTTGTTCAAAGCAGTGTTTACTTAATTACCTAAATTCCGTAATGTCTTATACGTGTATGTTATGTCGAAAATATTTTAATGCAAATTTATTTGCTTCATTGATTATCACCCTTGAATATTAGTCTTATTTTGATTATTTGCCATTCAAACAAATTAAATGGAACACTATTTATATTTGTTATTTAATGTTGCTTTGTTTATTACAGTTCCTGTTCCTCAAGCAATTGGTCCCATTATTGACGAACCAGGTACGATATTACATCACATAATTTCTCATAGTCAAGATTGTATTGGTGAAATATCAAATATTACGTTTCATCAGTAAAAACATGCCATCTTGTTCCTTACATTTGCCTTTAAAAAATCATTCATGTAATTTCACTTATGTTATGATACAATATTTTTTAAATTCTATTTGAATAATTGTAAATGGTCCAGGTTTTTCTCTCTTCTCCTAAGCATATTTATCCGATACCGTTTCTACAAATAACATATTTCCTTCTCTCTCTTAACAGTACATAACAACGGAATCGGTGAGTAAATCTTCTCGTTTGTTTTATCATGAATGTTATAATGACAATCTATTTTTGGACGTCATAAAAAATACTTATTTGGATTAACTTTCCTCTCTGTCGCTGATGCGTTGAATCATGCTGATTCCCGGCGCTATCTACTCTGATTTTCCGTCCTACTTTCTCTCGACTCCAGCGCTGTATGCATGCAAATACTGAGCGTTCTAATGACTTTTATTTCTAATCGAACTATTCTTACTTTCTAACTATCCCTTTTAATTGCCATAGCATTAAGGTGGAGTCGGCGTTAGATAACCTAAACCAAGTATTACTCATTCACACACGCAAACTAATTCAGTAGTAGTGACTAGAATTTAAAAAAAGCATTTAAGGCTTTTTGAACTTGAACCATCGGCAATTGCTTTACGACATACCATCCACCGCGGCAGAAGCGATGCAACTTCCCTGGTGAACAGCACAGTTCACCACTCAATGAACGCGCCATTCGTCGCCATGCGAACTCATCATCCCTGACTTGTCAACAGATCATCTTTTGTTTCATGAACGCATCATCCATTGCTTTGCACCTACCGTTGATGTATGAACACTTACCCTTATCAGTAGTGATCACTAGGAACACATTAACATGCCTTATCAGCAGCAGTGTCGAATAATGAACGAAAACCTAAAATTGTTTACGCCATATTAATAATTATCAAACCAGAATATACAAACTGTCATGCTTGTTATAACGAAACTGGATATATGTAGTTCGGATAATGTCGTAAGAATGGTATTTTCGACAGTGTTTAGATGTTAAAACTGGGATAATTCAGAATATTAGATGTTCGTTTTTTAAGTAACTCGGATTTAAGATTTACTTAATAACATATTGCACATATTCGTATTCCAAGACAAATATTTTTCATTCTATAACTTGTTTTGATTAATTAATTAATTCATTTATTTTATTCATTTCCACAAAATTCGGGAATTTTTATGAATGGGTTTGCTTTATGTTTTATTTCGGAATATATTATTTAAAGAATGCTAATTGCAAAAGTCAGAACAGATTTTTACGTAAGATGTATTTATACGTCACCAAGATCGATATACAATTAGAATCGTCAATATTTATGTTCTGAAGTAATTTATTGACACAAAAACCATTCCTGAAGAGAAAAATATGTCATTTTCATTCTCGCTAATTAGTGTGAAAACAATTAGCTTCGTTAGATTCTGTGTTAAAATTAAAATTTAAACTTTAACTGCTCTCAATACATACTGTTCTATCTAATTCGTATGTCATTAACACAACTTATCTACGCATGGTAGAATTTCAATGTCCTTATATATATAAAAAAACTTATCCATTCCTGGCCATTGTAAAGTATCGTACTAGAATTTTGCACATTTTTTGTTTTTGATTTTTTCCCCTTTTCAGCACATATTTTGTTATAGATTGTATATTTCATATTCATAAAGTATGATATTTTCTGGCCTTATATGAAATATCATAAACAGGATAAGGAATCGCTATTCAAATCGTTCTAAGCTTGTATTTATCCCACTTCTAGGTAGTTAAACTGCATATCAATTATAAATCAATGGGTATATTGTAATATATAATAGTCATCTTAAAACGTTACGTCACTGTATTGTTTATACATATATATTTTTTTGTCTTTTGGTTCTCATTATTTTTGTAAATTAAATTGAAGCAGAAGCAGTGTTGTATGAAATCGATAAAGATACAGAGAAATCAAAGTGCCAAATCATTGAAAATTACAGTTTTTATTACATTTATGACGTAGCTTAGTTATTATTATTATTTACCGTGTGTTTAGATTGCATGCCTAATTCGCCGTGGTTTATTACACCAAAAAGCAAAGAATTATTGCAAATACGCGCGCTAGTTGCTTAACATGCGTAGGTTTCAGAGGAAAGTTTCCAGAATTCAAAACATTGCTGAATAGATCGTAAAATCATGTAATCACAGAATACATTTTTTGGGAAGAGTTTATTGTACCTGTTCTGCAATTGATAATATCCATTATTTTTAATTCAAAAAGTCTTACAAATCTAATATATATATATAAATGTTTCATAAAATATCTGTAAAAGTAAAATATCAAAAACAAATTAAATTAGGATTTGCTAACGATAGAATTGTTTTCGGTTGATCTTGAATTTGGTCATTTCTGATTTACGTTATTGGTTGGGTTCAGGTCATTCAACAAGTAAAAAAATAAAAACTGAAAGTTCAAGCAGTGGAGGTGGAGATATAAATATAGGACTTGGAATAGGTATAGATGGTGTCGGCGTTGGAAGTGCTGGTGATGCTAAAGGCATAGGCCTTGGTATTGATGGAGGAAGTATTGACATCGGTACTCCAAAAATTGATATCGGAGGACCAAATATCGACATGGCTGGGCCAGATCATGGCTTTGGTGGACCGAATATGGACCTGGGTGGACCAAAAATTGATATTGGTGGCCCAAATATTGAAATCGGTGGACCGGAGTTCAATAGTCCGAGTCTAGACTTAGGGGGAACTATTGGAGCGATGACGGGTATGGATTTTGGTTTCGGAGCTGGTGGAATTGAAGGTGGCATGGGTATGGGCGTTAGCGACCTAGGTGGAAGCGTTGGAGGTGGCATGGGAGGAAATGAAGGAGGAGCTGGTTTCGGAGTTGGTGGAAATGAGCTCGCTGGAGGAGTAGGATTCGGCGGAGGATCCTTGGGTGGAGTGGGGGGAGGTGGAGCAATGGACACTTCCGGTGTGGGTATTGGAGTGGGGCACGGGGATGGCAGTTTCGGGATAGGCATTGGTCGGGCTATGCCTCCACCTAGAGGTATGTATTTGTCACTAGATTATGTTGCTCAACCGTATCCTCGTCAAATAAGACGTCCACATTGCTCTGATATAGATACCACATCGGTATTGTCCACGTACACATTTAAAATGTATGATGATTCTTCAAATCAGAAATACAAATAAACAAACCAAAAACAAAAACATAGGTTTGTCAACAACTCTATGTGTCCTATGCATCCATTAAACATTTACGTTTTTAAACATATTTTCTCTTTTCTGATCTTTTCTAATTCTGCTTTTCTTTTCTCATTTCTCAGATTCTTTTTATGTGCTTCCTTACCTTTTGTAGGTTCATTGGAAATAAACATTCGAAATGTAAAAATAAACATATAAAGTAAATTAAATCAGATATACTATTTTAATATATATTTTATATCATTAATTACGAAATAAATTATTATGTTGAAGTGCTGAATAATGAGATCGAAATGATAAAAGAAGTGATAATTTTATCAGCCATTACAATAATAAGATTTATTACTGACATCGCAATAGGCTAATACATATTCTAATTGGTTGAATTTGATTGTAGACAATTTGTCAAAGATAGTGTTCCTTACAAATGTTTTAAATTATTTTTTCAGATACCCTTATCGTCTGTGAGTATTAAAACGACAGCAACGAAGACCTTTTGATACGAAATTAACACAGAAAATTATGTCAAAAGAAACATAAACCAAACTCAAAATACTATTAAATATGTTAATTTATTTAAATTATAAGTCATTCGAACACAGGCATATTTACTTATCGTTTTGTTAGATACAACAAAAACTTTAATGAATACAATATCGGTGTTTACCTGATGATCATGATTAACCTAATTTCCTGTAGTGTCTGAAATTGTCCATTTCTATATATATCATAAAACATTTTTCTATATCAACTGAAATGATACGAAATCAAAAATCTTAATATACAAATCAAGATATCAGCAACCGTATTCGAATATCAGTTTTTGACTATGATTAACATTATTCTATATCTTATATTTCAGCTGATGCTGATCACGGTAAGTTATTTCATTTTGACATCTCAATAAACAATTTGCCATAGGACAAATATACATGAAAGAATGTAGCAGCTATCAATCACTTCTATCAAAAGATACTTTCTAAACGAGTTTGAAAAGTGATAAGATGATTTGATGTTTGATACTAAAACATAAATCACTATTATAATAATACAGAATTAGAAAAAAAATGATGTTATTCGCCGATTTTCCAGTTTAATGCATGCTAAGATAGAGATGTTTATTATTACAGTAAGAATTGGAGATCATGACTTCAGGGGACACGGAGACAGAGGAAGGAACTTATTTATTCGTAAGTATCTAACGGTCATGGTGTATTCCTTTCTGTTTTGGTGTTTCATAACTCCTTGTTTAATCATAAAATTGCTTATTTTCGGTGTTTTTATATCCTGTGGAGAGTATTAATTTTATTACAAAATATTAATTGTTTAACTGACGACCTGGAAAATAATTAGAGAAATAAATATTCTAATGAGATCTCACTAGCAAATTACCAGCTCCAGCGTAAACGATCCAATAATATCAGATTCTGACTGATTTAATTTTTTATACGCAGGTACTATTATTGTTATTTGTTATGTAATGATATTCACTTGTATGTTTTTTTGCAATCTGCATTCATATTTGACATTTCTTCTTTTGTCTCTTTTTGCACCTATGTAGATGATGCTGACCATGGTAAGAACATATTTATTTCATACGCTTGATAAAACAATGTAACATCTGTTTTCCAATATTCAGTAAACTATTTTGTCTGTTCCTTCCGGTCAATTGTTTGAAGTGGTTATGTGATGAATGTTTATTACAATTTTACAAGTTATTCGACCAATACCGTGTATTTTGAGCTTGATTTAAAATTTTGAATTTTTCCATCCTTCAAAATACGTGTGATATCGTTCATATTTTCAACTGCGTTAAATGCGGTGACTTCAACACTATTTTTGTCTTAATATGTGAAAAGGACAAAAAGGTTTCAAACATCAGTTTCCTTGTGCAAATTGTAATAAGATTATGACGTTCAATATTTTGCTGAATGATATACACAGCTCAGCGTTTATATATTCTACGCATAATCATAAATTTTTTTTTTCCTTCATCACCATCGGAGAAATATGTTAACTAAGGGGAGATAAATCTAGTCAAATGCAAACAGAAAATACTGTAAGGTGCTTTGGTCAATAGTTACAGGAGGGGGTCATCAAGGACATATGAGCGGTGGTAGTGACGGTTTCAACAACCCTGGTACGTCAAGAGTGACCGCACGTGCAAATATAGCATCGATGCCCTAGATGGATATGCTATATATAACATAGATAATATTGATATAGTAGTAGTTCTCGTTAAACATCTATGTATACTACTACTTGCGTCATGGGTGGAACTGTTCATATATCATACATTTTTGTGAAGGTTTGCATTCCAATTTACCATAGCATTATTAGCATATTAGTGAATATTCATGCAGCTGATATTGTTAGTAATATTGGGTACTAAAGCCTCTACTAATATGCTTTTGGAATGTTGCATATATCCATTATACATTAGTATTGGTGATATGCTGAACCTGGATGTATTCGTGTTATCATTATATCTACGTCGTATCTGCATGTTCGAAATCTGCATTGATATTCAACAAGAGCATATCAGTTTCTTTAAACATCTGCAAAGCACAAATCAAAGTCTTAAAAAACCTTGCTTCTTGGTGTGGAAAGTCATCTGAAATTAACAGTCCAATATTTAAAGCTGGAATTGATTTGTTTATTATTCTATTGATCAATTAAATAAATAACGGTACAGATATAGGTGACAAAATCTGACAATTGCATGTGCTAGCCAATAATTACCTGATAGTGTCCCATCCACAATGATATAATTTATGAAAAATTGTTACGTGCCCAACCACACAATTAGCCAATCAATCTTTATCAAATGTACTAACTTATATACAATATAATCGATAGGAACTAATTAAGATGTTATTAACATTTATATTATACAGCTTATCATCATGTTTTATTTACAAATGATTTACAAAACTACTAAGTAACTTACTCAACTACTAACAAAGTATGTATATCTTTTTAGCCACTAAAATGTTATACATTCGTTATGAGATATTTGACATGTATTTTACCATATATTTCCTTGTTTAGACAGAAATTGTGCGTTAGACATCGGTCGATTGAGGACAATTTTCTAATTCAATCTCTCAGTCATTCTAATATCTACATCTTGTACAATAAAACTATATAGGACCGTTATAAACAATTTTCAATTATATAAACATTTAATCATTTATTTTAATGGTTTTTTAATATTTCAACTTAATTTCCATAAGCAATCTTTTGCATGCAAGTAATATTATTTTTCATCTTAAAGTTATATCGATTACTCTTTCTTAAAAAGAAACGACTTTACATGATCTAGTCAATTGCGTCATACGAATCATGAAAACGTATATCTGAACCAGTAAAATGTATTTATTTATGTTCTTGTGTCTATTAGTTGCCATCTTCGGAGTTGACAACGGCGGAAATGGTGGCATTAGCGGAGGAAGTGGACTCGATAATGGTCTTGGTATCAATATGGACGGAATCGGAAACGGTGGAATCGATTCCGGACTAGGATTAGACAACGGACTTGGAGTTGGAATTGATGGACTTGGAGGACCATCCGATCTCGGTCATGATCTAGGTCACAATGGTGGATTTGATAACCAGGGAGGATTCATCGACGGCAATGGAGGAATCTTCGACAATGGTGTAAATGGCGGAGGGTTCGTAGACAACTTCAATGGAGGTGCTGTAGACAAAGGCCTTGGAGGTGGCTTTGTTGATCCTATTGTCGGAGGTGGAATGGACGGCAACATCAACATAGTAAACAATGGAGGTAGCCTCGACCATGGATTAGGCGGCGCTGGATCACTGGACATCGGAGGTCACGGACCAATTGACCACGGAGTAGGTGTTGATTCTAGATCCAAAGCCACAACAAACGTTAATGTAAATGTAAACGCGAAGTCGGCAGCTCATGGCGTTGGGTCTGGGTCAGCAGGAATCGCCCCAGGACCAGTAGATATGCTCCCCGCACCAATTGACCATGGACTTGGACATCCTGGCCCAATCATTGATGCTGGTCACGGAGTTCACACAGGTCACATGGGCAAAGGAAAACGTAAGTGATTATTTATCGTTTCAAACAAATATTAGATATTTGACAGCGATATCTGTAATTGTATATGACTGGTTATCTATAAAAATGCTACTTTATGGAAGGTAATCATTCGAGCTTTGTAAACATTAAGAATATTGAGATGTTATAGAACAATATTACCAAAAACGTCAATATCTTAATAATCAGCATCTCCGTGGCTCATATTGTCTCTAGCTTATGCAGCGTTCTCTCCAATACTTCACTACACACAATTAAGTTTCAAGAGTTAGCATATCAACATTTCGCATGTTCTAGCAGAATAGTAATTTAGAATCTATGCACTTCCACATATTTTCCATTAAGTAATAATTAAGAGCACAAATCGAGAAAAACGATATTTCAGTCGTTTGATTTGATACCTGTATTTAGGTGAAATTCAAACTCCATGATTAGCATATTTAAGATATTTCAGGTGCTAATATCTATGAAATTCTCTAACCTTAATATTCTAGAAGGACAAAATCCCTTTATGTTGTGTACTTGCTTGTTGTTTGTACTATTTTCTGTTCACCTTGAGATAACAAGGTATAATAATATGCCATTGCGCAACATTTCTATAGCTACTTTAACAAATATATATATATAATTCAGTTGCCAGATATGAATTATCTTCAGAAAAGAAATAAAAACAATCGTGTCATTATATGGTCATTAGGTCATTAAAACCTAATACCTTTTCTTTGTTTTTTCACAGATATTTGAGTGAATGACATTCCATCGAAGGTTATAGGGGCCATATAGCATCTGGGATTATTTATGTTGTCGTACAAATTCATCTGTATAATTTAATAAAACATCATTTTGCATATAAAATCATATAAACATGTCTATTTGTTTGTTGTATTTTTGGAGGAAAGCTACAATCAGAAATGTAAACAAACAAGGAATCAGATTGTACCATTTAAAATCGACAGCGATATATAGCGCTAGACGATCATCAGTCTTAGCGGGTGTTTTAGCTTCTTTCGCAATCAATATTGATAAAATGTTAGCACAGGCATGCTGCCGATATTAGCGGATTAAGTCTGTACACCTTAACTCTGAAAATAAATGCAAATCATAATGGAAGACGATGAAGAAGAAAAGGTGAACTTTGTGGCTTCAGGAAGTCACGTTTATACAGTTTTAAGGCTTTAAGATAAAATCATATCAACGTTTGCTGCAGATCAACTGATTCTCATGGAAAGTCAACAGATGTCGATATAACAACATCTCAGGGATCATTATGATGCAGACAACATGAAATATCTCCATCAAAGACAAAATACCTTACTCGTGGTCATGTAGACAAATCATGTTCTTAGCATATTAAATAAAACATGATTACGTTACCACTATTAACACACAAAATACTTTCTCGATGAGAGATTGAGTCATTGAATAACTTGAGCAATGGGTTACTAATTGGTTTAGACTGTTTAATAGCAAATTTGATTACAGCACTGATATAAGATATAACAGATGAATACATTTCTTTGTAAACAGACAATATGAAAGTATAGACCAACTAACTATTCAAAAACTCCATTTCAGAACCATAGTCCATTGGAATAAAAAAAACACAATTAGTTACAAAATGCAAATGAATATGTTTTAAACATACCGACACGTCAACAGTGTCGTGAGTATCGTAATTAAAAAAAGAGTTCCATGAAACTAGAAATTCGTATATATGCAATAGATAATACTCGAATGCTTCATAGAAATTATTAGCTCCGAGCACCCTGACAGAGGTTTGATCAGTAATGGATACATTAAATATAGAACAACGCGAACTTTATTTCTTAAAGATTTGTCCCACATTTTTCGATTTGAAGATCTTTTGAATGCATAATAATATATCATCTGAAGGAGTGTTAAGTGTAAAGAATGAAAACGCTGTTATAAGATGAGTACACTTTAAAATCTTTATTCAAAGACAATTGCATACATTTGTATGTATATAGATTGTGCCATGGGATTTCTTGGGATAAGCTAACAAGGCTTTCACATACAACACATTTTCTTATCAGTAAGCAGTGTCTCCTTATGTCACCCTGCCAGACATCTTGACAACTCTTCGCCATGCTAAGAAACGGAGCTTCGTGTCTTTGTGAGTGTTAAATAACATTTAATATAAGCTTTAAGAAGTTGAAATGTAGATACTCTTTATTCTGTTTCTACCAGATATAGTTTATATAAATGCGGTGCCTTGATACGAATAGAGTAACTCTGTCTGGTAGGAACAGTCTGGAAGATTGTCATCACTATCTTATCAATCAGCGGACATACTGAAGTATTTAGGACACATCACCTTAATGTTTATGTCAGAAGGTGCACAAAATCAGATGAATTACTGCTAATAGCAGAATACTATACCTACATCATGGGTGTTGTTTTGGCTATTTTTGATGTCGCCGTAGAAATTTAACATATCTTGTTAGCAAAACCACGTTTACTTTTCCTTATATCAGGTTTGCAGGTGTGTTATATCTGGTTACCATAGAAACACAAGTATGATATGTACACTATAATAAATCCTATTCGGTTGGGATTTCTGGCCACTTAAGTAAGTGCCCAATACAAAACCAGGATGAATCAAATAAAATCTGTATGTGTGTATATCAAATATACTAATGTAACGAAATGAAAAGTAGCACAACAAAGGTTCAGCGCAAATCAAATACCATTTCAGTAAATGCAAAGGTTTGTTCTACAGCCACCAGATGACCTGAAACTCGTGAATATATGAATAAATAGCATTTTATATCTAATGTACGGTGATGCAGAGGAGCAAATAATTTAGAGCGCAAAACCATATACCAATTTATGAGGTAAATAAAACGATATATGCATATGTATAGATAGACCAATTAATAAATAACCAATAAATAGCATGTTATTCCTGTATACCTGTGAACTAATGTAACGTTATACAAAGCTGAATCAAGAGGTTAAATCAGGCGATTTCCAAATAAATAGACAACTATATAAATAACGATATAATAATGTAATGACGCGAAGAGAAGCGCAACTTCCAAACCATGTGACAAGTCATAGTGTGGGATTTAAATCAATACAGTACTACATTGTCACAGACAACGTATAATACCATATCTTAACATGGATAAATTGTGACTCGTTGTCCAAATACGGGTATGCTGAATTCATCATCCAATTATAAATGAAAATACTGTATGGATAAAATTGATCTCAACATTTTTTTTTCAAATTTACAACAAAGGTTAGAGGCTTTAGAATATATACAATATTGTATTGTCAAAAAATGTATAACAAATATGAAAAAGACAACCGGCTTTAAAGTGTACTTTCAAAACATCGTGATGATAGAACAAAATACAATTTGTCACCACTAATATTGAATATTAGTAAATAATAATTCAAACAAAAATCATCTTTAAAAAAAACGTCGAATCATTAAAACATTTAGTATCAAATATCACATCACCCAATGATATATATCAAATACCTGTAACTGTACCAGATCATCACCAGTAAGAAATAACAACAAATCGGTATACAACATCACAGCTATGTTTTGATTGCAAGATGAAAACAAACATCCAAATTTGTTCTATTGTTGTGATAGCCTTCTCTAAATACCCGATTGTAAAGTTAATGTCATTCATAAATGTACACATGTTTGTAACATAAAACAATGCTTTGCTAAAATTCTTTACTGATACATCCAAATATTTTGTATACATATCTTACCAACAGATGCTGGACTGGTCTTGTTCTTTGGATGTGTTCATGGTCAAGGTAAAAGGTGTTACACCAACTACATAATCAATTGGTTGAAAAGTCTATTTTTATTCACCTTTATTCCACACATTTCACTCTTACTTTTTTAAAATGCATCTCCCATATCAGTAAGTGGGGGTATATGATAGACAAATTGTGCACGCGTGCGTTTACGTGTGCGTGCGTGATAATCTTTTCAACAAAACATCTGACAAATCCCTGAGAAGATTTGATTTATATTCACACCATATTATAACCCAACAATATCTACACTGTATAATGTTAGTCACTGGCCGCAACTTTAGATCTACAATCACCCTTGACAATCTTTGGAAAAGTAATTAACGTCTTGATTCAGGGATGGGGTAATATTTATGTGAGACCCTGCTCACTTTTTTTATTAAGATAGAAAGGCTCTTCCGGTTAGATGAAAAATGGAGGACCCAATACTGAGATGGGCACAAGTGAGTCTTACAATACATATAGCATTTCACCGAGCCAATATCAAATCAATCAAACAGTTCGTTGAAAATTGATCCAATTCTTGTTTTAATATTCTCACATGCTTTGATTGAATATCATTATAACCTTGATGTTTTATTATGTTATACAAACTTGAAGAACAAGTCATGAAATCAATAACAATCAGGCAAAGAAAACATATTAACAGATAAGCGATTGGAGTGTTATACTTGCGCTGATGTGATCCACCCTGCTGACTGCAACTACAACACAGCAGTGTGCGGTCTGGATGAAGTGAGTATTGTGATGTTATGCAAATCACACCACATGTGAGTGCATTACAGATAAAGTGATTTTGGGTTACTTATCTGTTTTATACCTTAATCTGTCTACTTATTTATGTCTATGTTGTTAGTCTTTAGTTTTATATCTATTTAGCAACGTGGTGGGGGATGATTTGGGGCTAGTCTCGAAGCTTCAATTTCATAGTTTTTATCAATACTAAACAATAACTTATAATTTGATGTTTATTTTCAAGACATCTATTTTTTTATTTTAATTTTATCTATTTATTTTTATTTTCCCCGTATTTTGATATAATATTTACAAAACAATAGATTTTTCCCCAGATTTATTTAGGTGAGATATACTATACCTATATTTGTCTATCTCAGATATGTTCAGTCTATCAGGCACTGTTGGGACCAAGTGAAGCGATGAGATACGTTGTCGGGTGTTCCTCAATACAGGTAACATATGAAATAAATGTCTACAACATTTGTTCTAACTGACTGGTTCAATTTTGTTTTTTTTTTTTTTTTTTTTTTTTTTTCCTTAATAAGCCCTAATGAATGTCGATACTAGTTTCAATTAACATTTAGCCAATATACTTGCTGACGCAAACGGAACTAAACTGAAATGATACATGTTAATTCGTAATCGTAATGTTTTCACGCGATTCAAATATTTTCAGACCTGCACGGTTTTTCTTAAAGATCAAAGAAAAAAACACAAATGTTATGATTTAATGCAAACTATATATAATTCTGTTGATATGTTAGCCTCTTTATTATTATTTTTGCTTGATGGAATTTGATATAAAGATTCTTTCATGTCGGCCTTTTCTTGACTATCTTTCTTATTATCAGCCTTCGCCTGAACGACAATGCATTTCCCCTCACGAATTGTTTTATTAATTGTCAAGCAATCAGGCAAAATTAAATCTATTTCCGCAAATGCATTTTAAAGCCTTAGATAATAGAGTATCTTATCATTTTCAGCTCTGTAATACTATATCCGGTATGAAAGGAAATACCATGTGTTCTGAATGTTGTAACACCACGCTGTGTAACAATCAACTATGCTCCACGAGTAAGTATTTGATGTCATTGTTAAAACTGTTAGGGTCTGTAACAATTCATGCGTTGATATTAACATGCTTGAAATACTTATTAACGTATCAAAACATGCTTAATATCGAATATCTCGATATATTATCTGCAGTTTGCTGATGCAAATAGAATAAAATTAATATCACACAACATGTAGAACATTTCAGTGATGTGTCGATGACTACATGGTCACCTTCATTAAAAAAATGAAAATTCACAATCAATTATTCTACTGGCTGTGCTGTAAGAGCTTATATCATAATGTATACACTATTGTAAAAACGAATATTACTATACAAAATAAATTTAGAACAAGGCACAGTCTACAAAATAAGTCCAAAATAAGTTAAACTTCATCATAATCATGTTTCGTCCTTCTAGTGGTCGTCTGTGATGAAAATGCTTGATTGAGTTGAAAGCTTGTGAAGGAAATCTATAATTATTCAAACATGTCAATTATACATACGTGTAATTGTATATTTCAGAAACAACAGCACCAATTCCTACAAGTACAACGCCGGAAATAACTACACAACAAGCAACGACGCCTGCCATACATCTGTTTGAACACCCACCTGTTGTTACAATGAATAGTCAAACCTCAGTTCAATTAGGGCTTTCTTTTGCACTGACCTGTAGATTTTCTGGGAGTGGGACACTTGCTGCAACGTGGTATTTCAATGGAGTGCGTAGGAATACCATGGCATTTTTGCTAACATTTTTAGCTATTGATAGATGAAGGTGTAATCAAACATTTTAATTTTTTTTCTTTTGGTTTCGATTTTGGAAAGATTTCCCCCATAGACTTTGTTGCACTTGTGTAATCGTTAACAGTCATCAATATCTATGCTATTTGAAATATGTTGAGATTTTTTCTTGTTATTTTCCCTATGTGTTGTATTACTTGTAATCCTAATACATTTCCCCTGTCAGTGACATGCTATAAGTATACGAGTATTTTGAAAAATAAATTGGACCTCGGTAGTTGAGTGATTAAGGCGTCAGACCGTCTTTATAACGACCCTCTTTAAAACGAATGATCTTTCTCAAGGTGGTGGTCAATTTCCCTTTTTTTGCACTTAACCCTAACCCCTCACCCCCCAACCCCAACCCCCAATCTTCTTCCAACCCCATTAAATATATAAATCTAAACAAACTAACAGACAGACAAAAACAACAACAAAAAACAAACAAAAAACTAAACTAAACAAAAAATACTGAACAACGCAGACACAGAACAGAACAAAATTAGAATAAAACGGAACAAAACAAAACAAAAAACAAAAACCAAAATCAGTCGAATATTGATTGCCGGGTCCTAAAATGTTGGAAGTGATTCATCGGCGCGTTATTGATGCATTTCAAATATGTGATTTGTTTTAACTGATCATTCGTTTCTAATTTTCAAGAAATTTTGAAATCTGTCAAAATACCACTGTCTTCCTGAGTTATAAGTAAGACTAAGAAAAAGTATTAAATCCATTCAATACGTCAACTTCATGCTTTGTTAACACTTAGTCTTAAACTCGTGATTTTATATAGCAATTACCGTCTCAGACAACATAGTGTAAATAAATACGTCAACTTCATGCTTTGTTAACACTTAGTCTTAAACTCGTGATTTTATATAGCAATTACCGTCTCAGACAACATAGTGTAAATAAATACGTCAACTTCATGCTTTGTTAACACTTAGTCTTAAACTCGTGATTTTATATAGCAATTACCGTCTCAGACAACATAGTGTAAATAAATACGTCAACTTCATGCTTTGTTAACACTTAGTCTTAAACTCGTGATTTTATATAGCAATTACCGTCTCAGACAACATAGTGTAAATAAATACGTCAACTTCATGCTTTGTTAACACTCGTGATTTTATATAGTCTTAAACTCGTGATTTTATATAGCAATTATAGACAACATAGTGTAAATAAATACGTCAACTTCATGCTTTGTTAACACTTAGTCTTAAACAGACAACATAGTGTAAATAAATACGAATGTCTAAGACACTATGGAGAAACTTGTTTTAATACGGAAGCATGACCTACTTTCTGCAAGATCAGAATCTCATAAATCTTTAAATACCCTCTTTTCGTGTTCCAAAATTGTTAATTCTTTTGAATTTCCGCTAGATGGCTTTAAAAACTAGGACCAACCGATTTTGTTTTTGTAATGCAAGCAAATATTATATTCGATATATTTTTTTGAAAATGTCGGTTATTTACAGTAAAGCATCTCTTTTCATATGAATTTTTTTTTCTTTTCCTTTTAAAATTTTTATTTTCTCAAAGAGGTATATATGTTAAAGGAAATAAATTATTTTGCAGCATAGGACCTTGCCACATAATGCTGTTGTCGCTAACCACAGGATGACATCAAAACTTTCTGTTTCAAGCAGTGAAGAGGCTAATGCTGGCACATACAAATGTGAGGTGTCAAACATTTACGGGACTGCGGCAGCAACAAGCAACGTGGTAATTACTGGAGGTAATAAACATTTCAGCAATTTAGCAACAGACAGTCAAATTCACTTCATAGGACTTCGGAAAAAGGGAAAAGATATGTTGATGAAGCTAATTTGGAATCTTTATTGTCGTCATTACGATCTCATTTATATATCGTTTAAATAATTATCTATTTTCCATTACAATTTAATGTTTAATGCTGATTATACAGGGTGGATTCCTTGAATTTAGTCTTTTCTTTTTTCTTAAAGAGCAGCATCTGGTCTTACTCTCTTTATATTTTCTGAAATAGCCTTCGTGTGATTTTTAATGTTTAAATTTTACCCACGTTTTAATTACGGTTTTGATGACGTGCTGTTTTTTTCTGTGTATATATCCATATTTGTATATATATAGGTGTTTTCAGTTTTTTCAACGTGGCTATATATAATTCTTCTGCAATTTTGTCTGAGAACAATGTTATATAGATTCATTTCTGAAGTGCTTTGGCTATAAATAGTTTGAGTTTATAACATATAGTATGGTTACAATAAGATTAGGATATTAGGTTAATTACCGATCTTAGCAACACCCGATAACTCGTAAGCGAATTTCATATTTCACAATACTCTCCTACTAACTAGTCAAACCAGCTTTTATCGAAAGACCTCCCGCGCACCTTGATATGGTTACCAATGGAGACTACAGCGCCACCTGTCGGGCATCAGGATTACCAAAGCCAACAATACACTTTGTAAGTGGGTTATTTAACTTTCGGAACTGATATTAGAGTTATTTGTATCTCTACCTAGTATTTGAAAAGATTCCAAAAAAAAACTTTAAAAAAGAATCATCCTAATTCAAATCCATGTATGTATCTGTATACATGGGTTTTTTTCACAAAAAGCACACTTCTGCTTAAAGATACAAAATATTGGACATACAAAGTTTAATTGTGTTCACTTTTTAACTCTCAAATGTAAAACAAAACACACTTGCAAATTGCTTATCTAAAATGAAATGTTAATGCTGACCACACTTATCACAGACGTCTGTTACATGTTTCTTCATGATATAATAGAAAAGGAAAAACGTTTCCTCGAACAACAACAGCAACAACAATAACAAAAATCAAACAAACAAATACAATAACAATAAAACAAACGTCATCTTGTTTATGCAAGAAGATTTTTCATTGAATGTTCGTCTTCGTCTTTTTGATTACTGGACAAACCATTATCCATGCTTGTATAAATAAGACATTGTTTGCTTGTGTTTGTAGCTCCATCAGTCGATGGCCGCGCTATCAGCCATATATACAAACCAAGAGCAGACTGTACTTTATATATCCGACCCATCAATGGATTTATCTGAGGGTCATGTGACCTGCACTTACGAAAACAGCTACGGGTCGATATCGACAAATATGACCCTGACTGTTCATCAAGCAAGTGAGTGAATTTCTTTCATTTCAATCATAAGCAGCGCAATTTTGTTATAGCATTGAGTCATACATCAAACAAAATAAAAAATATGTTGTACAAAAAACTCTTCTTTGCCAATTATTGTAAGTAAATCATGATAATTTCACATAAAATTGAACTGATGACTCCAGATGTTATAAATGTCATAATCACACATTGTATTCAAACCCTCAATTAGTATCAAAAGATATGCAGGTTGATGAAAATTATGGGGAAGTTTCATGGTTGCCAAAGTGATTTTCGTTGCTTGACGAAGGTTTACATGGCGGGTGTCGGCGATAAAGCAGAATACGCTTACTCTTCCGGAACATCTGTTCTTATTCTCCTTGTTCTTTTTCTTCAGTCTCCGCGTATTTTTTTCTGTCAAGTTTTTACCTAGTTTGATTGAATTTGGGTTTGAATTATGAATATGTTGGCATGTTGGAATTTTCTTTGTGTTTTACATTTTTTGTCCCAAAGATTTTTTTTATCAGAGAATAATTTATTTGACAATTGTCGCTTCTCTCATGTGATCTATTTGTAGCAACGACACCTCCGAGAACAACACATCAACCTACTACCCTACCCATTGATCACGTACCGTTGGCAATATCACTTCCGGGACATTTAAACGTACAGCTAGGAAGTGATGTAGTTATACCTTGCAACGCTACTGGAAGTCCAACCCCTCAAATCACGTGGTCTCAAGTTCCTGTGAGTGTTATAACTTGACATTGAGAAATACCAGTCTTTGCAAAATAAATAATATTCGTTTTTTTTTTCTTTTTATTCATTTTACATAATCATAGTAAAAAATTAAATTACGATGCGCTATGACAATGACTTTATGAGTAGTCTTTAACCACGTTTACAAAAGTCAACAAGAATGTATTTTCAAAGAAAACAGCAACATTCAAACCAAAGGTAAAATATATGTTATTTTACATTCTGTGTTAGTTTGAATAAATGACTCACAAAAATTATCAGATAAATTTTGAATGGTATTTCTGCGAGAAAGTTTTACTGAAATTCCCAGGAAAAAAATTTCTCTGACATTAGCATTCATGTAGCTCCCTAACTGATCAATTAAGATAATTAAACATTTGTTTCTTTATAGTACAATATTCTTGTCCATACGAAAATGTTATTTTATTGTGTTTTTGAGACCGCTGATGAATGTGTGATCTCTATCTTTTAATTATGGGGGTGTAACACCTTACTCGGTAACAAATTTTTTTTAGGTCATCTAGGATTCGAAATGCAGGCCGTTAGAGTTAAAGAGTTATTCATCGCAAGTACGTTGAATATAATAATATCATATAGTGGTGTTCTTGATAGAACGGAACATGCAGTATGATGTAGTGGTTTTTCACTACGTTTCCCACAGTGTTGAATGTGCTACTTACCACAGTATTAATTATTTTTCTATTTTAAGGGCAGATTTCCTAGCAATGTGGAACAACATGGAAATTCTCTATACATAACAAATGCTTCGGCCATAAATAGTCTGATATTTATGTGTTCAGCTACGAACATCCATGGTAACACCATAAAGTTGATCAGGGTGAACGTTCAGGGAGGTGAGTAAATACAACGGAGATTCTCCACTACCTTCGATTTAGACGAAATACGAAAAAAAAAACAGGAAAACACCAACATGTGAAAACAATTATAATCCAAACTGAAATTCAGTAAAACTAGGTCAAATTATGAACTACCAGTAGATTTACGAGAAAACTGTAGAAAAAATGTTCAAGGAGAGTAAGATCTGGTGTCCCGGAAGAGTAAGTGTCTTCTGCTTCATCGACAACACCTGTCATTCAAATTTTGGTCAATTCAAGTAAGTAGTGTCACCCTCTTAAATGAGAACAAGATATACAACGGAACAACAGATGTAATTTAGAGCAAAAAGAATCGTCATGGTTGAATGATGTCCTATTTAAGGTCAAAGTTCAGAGAACATCGTTAATACCATTCCCTAACTGACTTCATTCCTGTCGCTTCTCCATTTAATCCAGATGAACCACATAACTCTCAATTTGTTGCAAAACCGACTAATAAAACAATATATATTAAATTGTATTGTTTTGTGTCTGTTGTCCAGTTCCTCCCTACATCACGACAAAACCAGTTGGTGGAAATGTAACTCACGGCGAAACAGTCTTGATGGTATGCCAGGCAACGGGAAACCCGAAACCTACCATCTCCTGGGGTTGGCAATCGGTAGGGTTAATTCAATAGGATTAACTTCCTTGTTGCTGATTGCACATGATTGTGGTCCGGTAGTAAACATTCCTGTTTTACCTTTATACATATTTTTCTTCTTTGTTCTTATTCATGCATCCCGTGTTAATTTCAGTGTTAATATTAATCAATTTGTACTTTAGACTGAACATACAACTTTACTTGACGCTGTTTTAATACTGTCCGATGAAAATAAAGAAATTTATTTAACTATGGGACTGCTGCACCTCCGTGTTTAGGCTTTGACTTTTCTTTCGATCACATTTGATTTCCATTAGTTGCCTCTAAGCCTTTAAAATCATTGACGAATCCTAGGAGGACGAAACAGCTGTATGATGCAATTTAGCTCATTGTTATGCTCAACTGTATCTAACTCTTAATCATGAAACGGTGCTTTTTTATTTGTGTTTATTTTGTACAATGTTTTAAATCATGGCGTGTAAACAATAGCCATGTGATATGCTTTCAGAAAGCGAACGATCTTGCAGTTGACGGCTCCATCCTAAGACAAGTTCCCGGCGTATCGATACACGATTCACAACTAACCATCAGCAATGCGTTCGAATTACACAGTGGCGTTTATATATGTACTGCATCAAATGCCTACGGTACTGTGACCGCTGATGCCAACCTTAATGTTATCAGCGGTGAGTAACAAAACTGGACACTATTGTTACAAACGTATGTATTCTGTTAAGTGTCGTATTGTTACCATTGGCAATGCGTTCTTCTTTCCAAAAGAACGGACGCGAATATTTGCTAATGAACCGCATAGGTATATTTTTTAACATAACAAATGCCGAACAACGTCACTTTTAAGTTTTGCTGAATGCTTTCTTGTTTCCCCATCAGCAGAGGTCAAAGGTGTAGCTGCTTTCTAGTATTATACCTACATCTTAAGAATAAACCCACCTTTCAAACATAATTTATAATATGCTGTTTCAATAGACATTCATATCCAAAATATCCATGTAGCTGAGGTTGAAACATGAATTTATTCTATAATACTATGGTAAAAAATAATCATTAGGGGTGTCTAGAAATCAAAGTAAATGGCGTGGCAGGGCCAATACATTGTATACAAGGACAGTAGTGCAAATAACGGGCAAAATGATGTTTAGATACATGTTATCGCACCAACAGTATTCCATCTTTCTTGTTCACATCAACACAGGCATGGGTAAGGTAGGGTAAGGTTCCAAAGCGACATTGAGAAGATTTGGAATGGATAGGAAGTCGTTAAAAGCGTACATCTGCAGAAAGTGAATGGTTTGATTTTATTGTTTTGCTCTCTGCATACGTTAACTAAAAGCTATAATGTTTATGTGAAATATCTTTGCAGCACACGTGAACGTTGCTCCTCACCTATTGGTCACGCCTATACTTACTAGTACTCTGTACGGAAGTGACGTCACAATTAACTACACCGTTACCGGAGATCCAACACCAAGCGTTTCCTGCCTGTATAATGTATGTGATCATTCATAATATTAACGTATAGACGTAGATAGCGATAATCATACATATTCATACCGAAAACAGTGTCAATTTTTAATATCATGAATGCTGAAATAACGACATTCGACAATATTTTTTTATAAACGTAGAAAAGCATGTTAATAATATTAATAAAACAGTTAATTCTTGCTGTTATCCATGAAAGGATCAGTGGTAATCATATCCATAGATCCAGGAGTTTTGCCGTTACCTGAAATTATCTGTATATTCTCTTGTATTTGTTCAGATTACAGGTATGTACTCGACTTTCTTTCTAAGTGAACCAAATTTGGGACTTGTGGAAATTGCTATTTTCCATATTAGCACGCCTATCAGTAAGACTCTTACTAAGATTCGGATATTTTCTTTTTCTTCTCACTGTTGATCTACATATAAAATACATTACAATATTATGAATAAGATATCTCCATTTTATCTTCAGAAAGCTTCATTGCCTCCGAATGTGCGCTTGACAGATACGCAGTTACTCGTTATAAAAGCAACCAACGACAACAATGGAATTTACCAGTGTAACGCCCACAATATCGAGGGGAGTGAAACTGCGACCTTTCAAATCTCAGTGGTTGGAAGTGAGTGGTGAATAATAATTATGCTAATTGAATTATGAAATGGTGTTATTCACTGTCGTACAATTACTTTGATACATGATGGTCGCCATCTTGATGTATTGGAGAAATTATATTAATTTGTGATAAATAAAGTTGACATACTCGTTAATATCCAGTATGACGTATCTTACATTGACCTAGACTTAAATAGCTGTAGCCATTGGTTAAAATAGAAACAGATTAGAGTTCCGTTTGTTTGATTCTTTTGTCTTTTTTCCGTAAATTGTGTTTTTTTTTTCATTTTGTTTAGTGAGTCCGACCTTCCTTACTAAACCTGTAACTACGACTGTGCTGTTCGGATCATACTAACATGTAGCTTTGTTTCTACTGTACAGTGAGTCCGACCTTCCTTACTAAACCTGTAACTACGACTGTGCTGTTCGGATCATACTAACATGTAGCTTTGTTTCTACTGTACAGTGAGTCCGACCTTCCTTACTAAACCTGTAACTACGACTGTGCTGTTCGGATCATACTAACATGTAGCTTTGTTTATACTGTATAGTGAGTCCGACCTTCCTTACTAAACCTGTAACTACGACTGTGCTGTTCGGATCATACTAACATGTAGCTTTGTTTCTACTGTATAGTGAGTCCGACCTTCCTTACTAAACCTGTAACTACGACTGTGCTGTTCGGATCATACTAACATGTAGCTTTGTTTCTACTGTATAGCGAGTCCGACCTTCCTTACTAAACCTGTAACTACGACTGTGCTGTTCGGATCATACTAACATGTAGCTTTGTTTCTACTGTATAGTGAGTCCGACCTTCCTTACTAAACCTGTAACTACGACTGTGCTGTTCGGATCATACTAACATGTAGCTTTGTTTCTACTGTACAGTGAGTCCGACCTTCCTTACTAAACCTGTAACTACGACTGTGCTGTTCGGATCATACTAATACTAACATGTAGCTTTGTTTCTACTGTATAGCGTGTCCGACCTTCCTTACTAAACCTGTAACTACGACTGTGCTGTTCGGATCATACTAACATGTAGCTTTGTTTATACTGTATAGCGTGTCCGACCTTCCTTACTAAACCTGTAACTACGACTGTGCTGTTCGGATCATACTAACATGCAGCTTTGTTTCTACTGTATAGCGTGTCCGACCTTCCTTACTAAACCTGTAACTACGACTGTGCTGTTCGGATCATACTAACATGTAGCTTTGTTTATACTGTATAGCGTTCCGACCTTCCTTACTAAACCTGTAACTACGACTGTGCTGTTCGGATCATACTAACATGTAGCTTTGTTACTGCTTATTTCTACTGTACTTAGTGAGTCCGACCTTCCCTAAGGTGATTTTAACCTTTACTAAACCTGTAACTACGACTGTGCTGTTCGGACATACTAACATCAGCTTTGTAGCTTTGTTAATACTAACATGTAGCTTTGTTTCTACTGTATAGCGTGTCCGACCTTCCTTACTAAACCTGTAACTACGACTGTGCTGTTCGGATCATACTAACATGTAGCTTTGTTTTTACTTACTAAACCTGTTTACGACTTCCTTACTAAACCTGTAGCGACTGTGCTGATTTTTATATATTTATACTAACATGTAGCTTTGTTTCTACCTATAGGGTACTAAACCTGTAACTACGACTGTGCTGTTCGGATCATACTAACATGTAGCTTTGTTTATACTGTATAGCGTGTCCGACCTTCCTTACTAAACCTGTAACTACTTGTGACTGTGCTGTAGCTTTGTTTATCTGTATAGCGTTCCGACCTTCATACTAAACTGTAACTACGACTGTGCTGTTCGGATCATACTAACATGTAGCTTTGTTTCTACTGTATAGTGAGTCCGACCTTCCTTACTAAACCTGTAACTACGACTGTGCTGTTCGGATCATCGTCGAGATTGACTTGTAGCGCTTCTGGGGTACCAACCCCGTCTATCCGATGGGAATATCAGTCGGTATGTTATTCAAATATTCAGAGAGTCAATCTAGAAGTTATTAAACTGATCATAAATATGCAGATTCGGCAACATGTATGTTTTATCCTGAAAACCGTGTTACTGCTTATTTATTCTACCTGTTGCTTATTATCTTTTTAAGGTGATTTTATTTAATTCTTTTTCTGCGCTTGAAATATTGCACTAAAACATCATTGAGCTAATTGAATTTATTTGAAAGTCGTTAATATAACAATTATTGCTCATGAGCGAATATATCATTTTACTTATTTGAAAAAAATGGTATTGTATTTCAATTGGATGCCACAGAGGTGTGTTCATTCACATTACGGTTTACAGGGAAATGTTTGTCTTCGTTTAATAATCGACTTTTTTGGATTGAGCGATTTTTATATATTTATATAACCCTATTATTTATACTCTGAGGGTGAACTAAACCAGATACGAATGTTTGTCTGATCGTACACGAAACAAGTAACCTGGGTCGAAAATGATTTGGTATACGCTATATTGATGTCGCTACGTTTTTAGAAAAGCCTTTATGTATGAATCCCTACCTTGTGACTTTATCGTCTAGCACATAACAGTATGTTTCTGGAATTGTTCAACGTCGAGAGCAATAAACGACTTAGCTGAATATACAATTCTGAGTTCTACACAATGACGGTGATTTCTAAGCTCGCCAAAAACACGAACAATCACTTAATATGCAGGGTTATTTTTTACAGAATCAATATTCGAAGACGTCGACGGAACATGTTCCTTTGCGATGGTCATGTAAAAAAAAAACCAATATTTCTATTCATGTCTTCACATATGAGTCATGAAACTGTAGATGAAAGAAGGAATTTAATAGGTTGATTTCATTTGGACAAACATTCATTCACGCTAGAAACCGATGTCTGCCTTATTGTAGACGAAACAAAGTTGTGATCTCCAAGAGTCATAAATAAAGTTAAAAGCATCACGTGTAAAAGATTGCAGTAGATATTATAATTCATTCGCATAATGACAGGGTTCACATAATATTCAAGTGTACCTACGTTCTTGTGCATTTAACAGATGTATGCGATATCACGAAATATGAGGCTAGAGCACCACCACATTTCCTTTCATCATTCTCCCTCTTGATTAAAATTTTGGCCCTGACATCTACGCGGAGTCCTAGAATGACGAAACAACTGTATGATGTAACATCACTGACGAGTCCTAGAATGACGAAACAACTGTATGATGTAACATCACTGACGAGTCCTAGAATGACGAAACAGCTGTATGATGTAACATCACTGACGAGTCCTAGAATGACGAAACAACTGTATGATGTAACATCACTAACGAGTCCTAGAATGACGAAACAACTGTATGATGTAACATCACTGACGAGTCCTAGAATGACGAAACAACTGTATGATGTAACATCACTGACGAGTCCTAGAATGACGAAACAGCTGTATGATGTAGCATCACCATACGAGCACTAGAAGGACGAAACTGTATTTTGTAGTATCACTGACGAGTCCTAGAAGGACGAAACTGTATTATGTAGTATCACTGACGAGACCTAGAAGGACGAAAAACTGTATGATTTAACATCACTGACCAGCACTAGAAGAACGAAACAGCTGTATGATGTAGTATCACTGATGAGTCCTACAAAGGACGAACTTTTATGTCATTGAATTAATTGTTTTACCCTAATATATCTCTTACTGCGTCTTTTTGTTCAATAACCATTTAGGTCAGCGGCAGCTCCGGATTACCCGCCGGTTCCTCGATAAGCCCCGACCATACCACAATGACAATCAAGTCGACACAGAACAGTGGAACCTTCATCTGTCACGCTGAAAATGCTTACGGACAGGCAACAGCACAGGCGTCCATATTAGTCAAAACAAGTAATGTAATAGTTATATCAAAGTTAAATGTCAACCAAGTAATGTTATAGTTATATCAGAGTTAAATGTCAAAACACGTAATGTTATAGTTATATCAAAGTTAAATGTCAAAACAAGTAATGGTATAGTTATATCAAAGTTAAATGGATAACAAACAATGAGTTTATAGAAAAAATACCCCCTCAAAAACATGTTATAAATAAAATAAATGAAATAAATGAAAAAATAAATAAAGCAATTTAATAAATCATTTAAAAGGAAATAAAAATAGATTGAGTTCAAAACAATATGCAACAATTACATTGTATTGCTCTGAAATAATATCGTTTTTAATAAATGAAGTTTTTTTTCTAAAAAAAAAAAATAAGCAATTCCATAATATTATGACATCTTTAAATAGTAAATTCAATAATATTTTTATCAATCTTATTACAATGAACAGATCACAGTTTCAGTAAATAAACGAGGTAACGTAGAGAAAAGCGTACTTATGATTCACAACAAAATCAGTACTACGACAAAAATAGTCGATGTAGTTGGAATATTTGGATTGATAATGATGCACACGTGATACAGATAAAGGTGTTTGCACTTTGCCATGTCGAAATGTGATTTTTGACGTTTAACAAGTGTAATCTTTAGAATGTACATATACTTATCACTAAATCTATACAATGTTAGGGCCGTTGCATCTCTGCTCCACATCTGTACATCTTTAATGTCAAATGTTGCCTCTTAAATATCAACAATATTTCGTCTCATCACCATTGATGATTCCTAGAAGGACGCATTAATTGTACTGCACTGATTAAAAACACTGCTTACTCTACGATTTGATTTTGTTTTAAAACATGTTATTTGCCATTATTTCGTGTAAAATTTTATGTTTTCTAGCTTAATTTCAGCATGTGTGATAGAAACACTAAATCAAAGTTAATTTTCATTTCAGACTTGATGTTGTTGATATAGATTATATAGAATGAAAGCGTGTAGGAAAAGTTTGATGTTAAGATTGAAACAGAATGATAAATTCGTCACCTGTACCATTAAAAGGCGATTTTAAAAACGAAAGTGAAACATATTAACATTTTGTTTATATGTATTTATCATAAACATTTATTTATTTTTTCAGGCTCGTTGATTGGCTGATCTGCATCAAATACAAATTCAATTACGTGTCTTGTGACATGAAAACCTAATAAACAAACACCCTTTTCATGAGTTTTACTCACTATTTGTTTTCTTTGCATTATTATTGTATTTGTTATCGTTTATGTTTTATCTACATTATTGGTGATATATAACAGAATAGTTCTATGATCTGTCGTTTTTTTAAAGATGTTCAAAGAAATGCTCCCATTGTACTTAACGCACTATTCTCACATAACATAATATATTTACATCATCAGTGTGGAGTGATTTCTTTTTCTCGTTGTGTTCGCTATCACCAATAACCGTATCCAGGTATCTGATTGGATTTTTGTTAATCGTTAATAGGCCAAGTCAAAAATAAATCTGTTGGAGCATATATCGTCCCAGAAACCACTTTTACGGAAGTACGTTCCATTTCAGAATATCCTATACTGTCACGTTTTAAAGCTGTTGAATCTCTTGATTCGTTTGACGTCTATTTTAGATTTCAAAAGTGCTGCATCAGCTACGCCTTCCTTGTAGACTGAGGAGAACAATGTTGTAGGAAGTTTACTTTAATTAATACAGCCTCAGTAATTAGTAGGTAACGTCTGATTCAATCACACAAGAACGGGGTGTTATATTTCTTTAAAATGTAGATACAAGGCGGGAAAATTGCGGTTCTAATTCAAACCGTTAGCGTAATGATTTCTTCACGGGTTATGGATGGAATTCGTTTTGTTGTTCGCTAATGTAAATCACTGTATTGTCGTTATAATACGCGAGGAGAGTCAATCGCGAATTCATATATATCAAATTTATCGCAATTATTTGTATAAAATAACTGTGGAATGTCTCGATGAAAAGTTGGTTATCCGGGTCTTGAAGAGTCTATGCTCCGGATAGCTCATCGTTCGCGAATATAAAGTAATTTCTAAATCAGCGTGCACATATGAATTTCAATAATAGCTGCGTATCTCAGTAGTGTATATAAATTCCAATTAAATATTTCGATCACAATTTCATGAATAAGGTGTAAGGCGAAAGCCTTCTTGCCGTTGATCACAGCCGTGTCGGTTGTCATAACAACGACGTGAACGGTTTAAACTTCCGTCAAATACATAAATAGATATAACTAAAAATGCACGATACGTTGATTGACGTCTGTGTAACTTCAATGATTTCTGCCTAAATCTGACGTATTGGGGAAGGATTGCTTCACATATCGTGTGCAACGATAAAGTTATGAAAACGAAAATAGTATAAAAGAAATAATCCTAAAAGTGAAAGGTATTTGAACGCTATACCTTTGTATACGCTGTAAGTAAAAATGTAACATTATCCTAAATGTACATCAAGATGTAAAGGTATGAGAACAAGGCCATAATAACCGAGGTGACAAAATGGCGGCAGTCTTGGGACACAAACGTATTGGATAGATTTAGGCGTCGCTATGCCCAAACCTAGTGATAACATGATGACTAAGTTTGAACAAAAGGGTAATTTTACAATGATATGCTGAAAGACAACAATGGTTTTGGAAAGTAGTTCAAAATCAAGTTTATTATATACGTTGTAGAACACGTCATCAGATCGCGTGATCATGCCGTGGACTATGCAGTTCCAGACTAGTGTGCTGATATGTAAAAAAATATATATATATTATTTTTTTCATAAATATCACAAACGTTTTTTATAATTGGTAAGTATTATGCCCGTTACGTTGCTATATAAACATATCAATAATTCATTCTATATCATCTTAAGCTTGAAAATACTTCTGAAGTTTTAAAAAGTAATATAAGACTATTTAATTCAGAGTGCATTGATTTACTTGTAGACAACACTGGGCACTAGATTATTGTCTTTCCAGGAAAATATAATGTTATTGTTCAAACATTTTACCTGATTCAATCACTGATGAAGTGGCTGCCGACCCTACTTTATTAGTTGCAGTGCACGTCCAGGTTCCTAGTACGTCATGGGTCACACGGATTTGTATTCGGGTACCTCCATGTGTGATGTGGGCTGTTCTCGGTATTACGTTCGACGCAGTTGTTGACTTAAAGAGGAGTAAATAGTTACTATATCTATCAAAGTATATGAGTGAGCAAGACGTGTACAGGAAATCGTAAATACACAAATAGGATGTGAAGGACAGATTTTTTTACTTTTTGACATAATTTCTGTTATAGTAGTTTTCTGAAAGCACATGCATGGTAAGCCTAAAAAATTGATGACAAGCTACATCTATCTCTGTGAGTTGTGTATTGGTTTTATGATCTAAAAGCATATGAACAATTTGAACAAATTGGGATAATTGTTTCACGTCCTATAGCAAAGTTCAGTTATAGCAGCCGCTTATCTGGTTGCAGTTTGTGTAGTTCGAGTTTTCTGGTTTGCATTTTTGACGAGCTATTCCTGGACTATTTCTTTGATGATAAACAATTAAACGCTTGGTCTTATTTTTAAGATAGCAATAAGTGAATTCTTCTGCAGATAAACTGTTTTTCTTCACACGATTCTACCTTGAAATAAAGAAAACATGCAAATGATTTAGATTTTGATGTCAGGTGTATGAAATCACATTATATCCACTTTTAATACTGACAAAAAATATTCTAAAAAAAAGAAAAAGCGATATAGTATAGGTTGTCGGACTGTTGTTTAGTTGACTAGAGGTATATTAGTTGTCGGACTGTTGTTTAGTCGACTAGTAGTGTAAGAGATCGGACTGTTGTTTAGTCGACTAGAGGTATAAGTTGTCGGCTGTTGTTTAGTCGACTAGAGGTATAAGTTGTCGGCTGTTGTTTAGTCGACTAGAGGTATAAGAGATCGGACTGTTGTTTAGTCGACTAGAGGTATAAGAGATCGGACTGTTGTTTAGTCGACTAGAGGTATAAGTTGTCGGACTGTTGTTTAGTCGACTAGAGGTATAAGAGATCGGACTGTTGTTTAGTCGACTAGAGGTATAAGTTGTCGGACTGTTGTTTAGTCGACTAGAGGTGTGAGAGATCGGACTGTTGTTTAGTCGACTAGAGGTGTAAGAGATCGGACTGTTGTTTAGTCGACTAGAGGTATAAGTTGTCGGACTGTTGTTTAGTCGACTAGAGGTGTGAGAGATCGGACTGTTGTTTAGTCGACCAGAGGTGTAAGTTGTCGGACTGTTGTTTAGTCGACTAGCGGTATAAGAGATCGGACTGTTGTTTAGTCGACTAGAGGTGTAAGAGACCGGACTGTTGTTTAGTCGACTAGAGGTATAAGAGATCGGACTGTTGTTTAGTCGACTAGAGGTGTAAGAGATTGGTTGCGTAAGATATGTTGATCTTTTAAAACGTCGTGCCCATTTCACGATAGCTAAGAACACCAGATCACAGGAATTATTTGTCTACACTAATACCATAATCTTACAAATACTTTCTTACTGAAGAAATGCATCTGTAGACAGAGGACCGAGGTTACTGGATAGCTTGACTATTAGGCAGATGTATGAGAGTGAACAAGGAGATAATTTATATTTAACACTACAGCTATCAGAACTGGTTTAACAATGGCATGTCATTCATAAGTGACAAACCGTTAGGTAATAATTTAGACAGCAATGTATTCACATTTTGATGCTGAATCCTTACAAAAGGTACGCTTAGAAGAATCAATGACTCAACCTTCATTACAGTATAATAAATATAAATGTATTGAAAAACACAGTAAACTACTGCATTTCTACAGAAGACAAGTAAAGTATGCAAGAAATGAAAAAAGGAAAAAAACGTAAACTAGTTAGAAAAATCAGAAAATTATTATATGTGTTTTGTTTATCTATATGGTTGATTTAATATATAATCAAGAAGTGATGGATTTAGTAGACAATTCAAATATTTGCAAGTTTCAGATTATCTGCTTTAAACACATCATCGATGCAAAAAGGAAAAACGAATGTGGACAACAAAAGAGAATTTGAAGGAAAGGTAATCTACTAGATTATTAATACATAAGAAAGCTGACGAGTGATTTGTTAAAGTTTCAACGTACTATTGTAATTTTACGACATGAAACTGAATTATTTGTAAATCTGATAAAAAGTGCAATAAAATGGTGACCAGAGGTTGATTTACTACCGACTGAAAGCTCCATGCTATTGTGGCGTTTGATTTGGGATCCACTTCACAATGCAGAATGACGATATCCCCGTCCAAGACTTTCCTGTTGTTTGGTTTTCGTGTGAATGAGGGTAACACTAAAATAATACATAAATTGGAATTTGCTTCATAAAATATCGATAAGAATTTTTTTTCCAATTTCTCTCAAATGACATTACTAGAAAGAGTTCATTGAAGTCTATGTAATAATTTTCCATTTCTATTTGGTTTTATTATTCAATAGTTTAAAGTTAGGTATTCAAGGAAGGTTGCAAGATATAGGCCTTTTATGTTTGTATTCCGATAAGACCTTCATTCTACAATGGCTAAAATCATTTTTGTATTCGTTCCGAAAAAACAGATAAATAAATATTATAACAAACACATGAGTGAATCAAAATGCTGACTTTTGCTAATTAGTCTCTATTTTAACAAATGACGTTAAAACATCAAGAAAATACCAACAGAGCAGCATAGGTATAATTCAAACTAAAATTCCATAAAACTAAAGCAAATTATGAACAAAAGGAAGATTTACATGGAAAAGCATAAGCAGAATAAACAAGGTGTTCCGAAAAAGTAAGCGTTTTCTGCTTCATTGCCAATAACCGCAATGCAAACCTTTGCCAATCCAAGTAAGCAATATCACGTTCTCAAATGAGAACAAGGTATACAACAACGATATCAATCGGCAATCTAAAGAGTATCAAATACGTCCAGCTTCATGTCGTACAAAGAAATAGTTCTCAATGAGATCACTATGACAACCATAAAACTTTCTCATAATTCTTATTCTTTCATATACACGCCCAAAAATACACGCGAATAAGACCTGTTGTTCAGTAAGATAAAGTCAGCGGGGACAAAATAAAGATTTCATACACACGCCCAAAAATACACGCGAATAAGGCCAGTTGGTCAGGAAGGGTAAGTGCGATACATATATTAATATTTATTTAACGAGATTAAACGTGATATTTGAGTATCCATTTCACCTAGTGTTGGTATTCCACAGAGAGCCATGTTACAGAAACTGCCGTTACAGCATCGAGTGCAGTATGCTCCGGCAGCAGTGGATAATGCATTCTCCTCGAAAACATCACAAACCTTAAGAATAATACATATATTTATCACATAAAGAACGGCTTGTAAATAATCTCTTAATCAATATTCAATATCATAACATATTCGTAATTAAAGACGGCTTGGCTGCGTTTGGCTTGTAGCTGCCATATATTAAATTATGTTTTAACTTTGTGACGTCATCAAAAAGAGGTAAAGAATGAAAGCACTTCTATTTTAGATTTTGTATTTATTTGATAAACTGTTGTTTTAACAAATGTTTAATGTATTTCATATGGTAAGGAGTATCTGACATGAATTTTCATAAGATGTGTATAAAACAAGTCAGGAATTTGTCACCGAACCAGATCAAGACTTGATAAAATGGAACATTTGATGAGTCGTATCAGGAAGAAAGTGGATAAAGATACCGATGAATAAATCGAAATAAGAAACCAACGTAACGAAAAATCGTTTTATAACGCAATATCTGCTTTCAAGGACACTCTAAATTATCACTATAAGTTTCAAGGACACTCGAAATTATCATTATAAGTTTCAAGGACACTCGAAATCATCACTATAAGTTTCAAGGACACTCGAAATTATCATTATAAGTTTCAAGGACACTCTAAATTATCAGTATAAGTTTCAAGGACACTCTAAATCATCACTATAAATTTCAAGGACACTCGAAATCATCATTATAAGTTTCAAGGACACTCGAAATCATCACTATAAATTTCAAGGACACTCGAAATTATCAGTATAAGTTTCAAGGACACTCGAAATTATCATTATAAGTTTCAAGGACACTCGAAATTATCATTATAAGTTTCAAGGACACTCGAAATCATCACTATAAATTTCAAGGACACTCGAAATCATCACTATAAGTTTCAAGGACACTCGAAATTATCATTATAAGTTTCAAGGACACTCGAAATCATCACTATAAGTTTCAAGGACACTCGAAATTATCAGTATAAGTTTCAAGGACACTCTAAATTATCAGTATAAGTTTCAAGGACACTCCAAATCATCACTATAAGTTTCAAGGACACTCTAAATTATCATTATAAGTTTCAAGGACACTCTAAATCATCACTATAAGTTTCAAGGACACTCGAAATTATCATTATAAGTTTCAAGGACACTCGAAATTATCATTATAAGTTTCAAGGACACTCGAAATCATCACTATAAATTTCAAGGACACTCGAAATCATCACTATAAGTTTCAAGGACACTCGAAATTATCATTATAAGTTTCAAGGACACTCTAAATTATCAGTATAAGTTTCAAGGACACTCGAAATCATCACTATAAATTTCAAGGACACTCGAAATCATCACTATAAGTTCCAAGGACACTCGAAATTATCATTATAAGTTTCAAGGACACTCTAAATTATCAGTATAATAAGTTTCAAGGACACTCTAAATTATCAGTATAAGTTTCAAGGACACTCTAAATTATCAGTATAAGTTTCAAGGACACTCGAAATCATCACTATAAATTTCAAGGACACTCGAAATCATCACTTAAGTTCCAAGGACACTGAAATTATCATTATAATTATCATTATAAGTTTCAAGGACACTCTAAATTATCAGTATAAGTTTCAAGGACACTCTAAATCATCACTATAAATTTCAAGGACACTCGAAATCATCACTATAAATTTCAAGGACACTCGAAATTATCATTATAAGTTTCAAGGACACTCGAAATTATCAGTATAAGTTTCAAGGACACTCTAAATTATCAGTATAAGTTTCAAGGACACTCTAAATTATCAGTATAAGTTTCAAGGACACTCGAAATCATCACTATAAGTTTCAAGGACACTCTAAATTATCAGTATAAGTTTCAAGGACACTCGAAATCATCACTATAAATTTCAAGGACACTCGAAATCATCACTATAAGTTCCAAGGACACTCGAAATTATCATTATAAGTTTCAAGGACACTCTTAATTATCAGTATAAGTTTCCAGGACACTCGAAATCATCACTATAAATTTCAAGGACACTCGAAATCATCACTATAAATTTCAAGGACACTCGAAATCATCACTATAAGTTTCAAGGACACTCGAAATTATCATTATAAGTTTCAAGGACACTCTAAATTATCATTATAAGTTTCAAGGACACTCGAAATCATCACTATAAATTTTAAGGACACTCGAAATGTAAGTTTCAAGGACACTCGAAATTATCACCATAAATTTCAAGGACACTCGAAATTATCATTATAAGTTTCACAAAACCATTATCATATTACTGCATTGATGTCAATCCATACCCGTTTTTGCTCGCATCCCATACTGAATCGCATCTCACCATTACTATCAAGTTGTACTTTCCTGGTAAAGCAAATCTGTAGATAAACAAAACAAGATATCACCAGTGAAAACCTACAGCGTAAAACTGAAAACATATTCAACATGATACAACTGTTGATGATAAACATCCAACAAAGGGAAAAAGACACAGCAGAGAAAATTTCAGTGGTCATGTGATAAGTCAGCGAGGGTCGTAGTATACCAGAGCGTGCATACTACTAATAGTGATTCCCATGAAGATAAACAGCAGTTGATTTCAAGTAAAGACATTAGATAAACAGTCCATAAAAGTATGCCATATTTCTTACCTTATCCGAATAACACTCCTTTAATTCCGTGCATTCATTTGGATGCATGACGTCATCACAGTGAAAGCACTTCAAGCCTCTGTCGTTCTCTAGGAGAGAAATAGTGTGTTTACTCATCTTATAAGGATGCAATTTTGATATCAACAATATAAACTTAGTTTAGAAATGTTACAGAATAAACACACTGTATTGTCATCAATAATGTCAGAATGCAAAAAGCTCATAGAGAGTCTGTTAATATTCCAATAATGAAATAGATTATTTCATACAGCTGTTTCGTCCTTCTAGGACTCGTCGGTGATGCTACATTATACGCTGTTTCGTCCTTCTAGGACTCGTCAGTGATGCTACATCACACAGTTGTTTCGTCCTTCTAGGACTCGTCAGTGATGCTACATCACACAGTTGTTTCGTCCTTCTAGGACTCGTCGGTGATGCTACATTATACGCTGTTTCGTCCTTCTAGGACTCGTAGGTGATGCTACATCATACATCTGTTTCGTCCTTCTAGGACTCGTCAGTGATGCTACATCATACAGCTGTTTCGTCCTTCTAGGACTCGTCAGTGATGCTACATCATACAGCTGTTTCGTCCTTCTAGGACTCGTCAGTGATGCTACATCATACAACTGTTTCGTCCTTCTAGGACTCGTAGGTGATACCACATCATACAGCTGTTTCGTCCTTCTAGGAGTTGACATAGATGCTCAATCAAACGATGAAGAAATGATTTTTTGGGGGTTTTTTTGTTACTATTGTTGTTATATACAAATAGCACAAAATTTACACCTTGAAGATTTATACGGATAATATAGATTGTTAAATTTGTATTAACAGCTTGAAGATCATACACATTGCATAAATTGTATCAATTTCATCAACACATGTTTGAAAATAACCCAGTCTAAATCTGTTTTGTTCGAGATCCAGCAAGCAATGATGTTATTTAACCAACACTACAATAATAATCATTTGAATTGACACGTGTAAACAAATTTTGATATCGTGTTTTCGATTTGGGACCATACAATAAGATCAATCATTTATCATTTGCTTCTTTTTCAACAATCATGTATGATCTAAACAGTCTCCAAGCATGGTTCTTTACATGAAATCGACAGGAATAAATGTTGACTTAAAGAGTTTGGACAAAATCCAGAAATGTTGAAACATGTACCTGAATTACAGAGAAAAGCGTTACACCCACAATTTGTCGTATTTTTCTCCGTACATCCCGTCGCTTCCGAGTCACAGCATTTCAGACAATTTACTAAATCTCGCTTTTTTCGGCCACCTCCGAAGTTCATATCAATTATGTTACAAACCTACAAGGTAAATTGCAGACTTACTTTGTATTTGTTTCAATAAATCAGTGCTTTAAAAATCAAGTAATTTTATTTCATGTTTGAGTCATCATTTTACGGCGAGTGCACAACAGGCTTACTCGATTAAAAGAATATTCGAAAATGTATTGACAAATTTCATTTTACTGAAAAATCATTAACTTTCGTTGGATGTTTATATTTAATGATTTCAATGATTTCATTAGTCCTCCCAGGGACGTATCATACGTCCCTGGTCCTCCTTCTCCACGAATCCAATGTTCCCAAACTGTTACAATAGATATAGGCAGACTTATCAGGCGATATTTATCCGCGTCGACGGTAAACACAAAATTTTAACCCCACGAAAATATATATTACAGAAATATTTTATATTGCGAGTTTTACAGATAATCTTTAATATCATTGTTGAAAATGATATATATGGGAGGGAGGCATACTTATAACTGTAAGTTCGAATTTTTTATTGAAATGTTTATTCGGACAACATTATCTTCCTCTCGTGAAATATTGATCTATTTCAAACATTGCATATCAGTGATACCACAGTCAACTTCTATTGCCAGTGGTGATGAATGTTATCATTTAGCTTACAGATTGATCCATGCAGCCTGATTCAAACATGAGGTTCCCTGAAGGACCAGTGTATCGCTTCGTATAACATTTCTGAAATCAACCATAGAGTCATTATGTATCGTATATCATTTTGTACAATTATTCTGAAATCAACCATAGAGTCATTATGTATCGTATATCATTTTGTACAATAATTCTGAAATCAATTATAGAGTCAATGTGTATCGTATGTCACATTTTATAATAATTCATATGTCGATTTCTCGAAGTGTCACTGAAATTGAACAGGTACGAGTCTGAAAAATCCATTTGTACTAGAACAAGTTAAAATTCTTTATATATTTATTTCCATTCCTAGTTTAAGTTTCCAATCCTATATTTACATTTGCTTTGTATTATCGACTTCGTTAAGATTTCAAAATTTGTATTTGATATTTAGTAAGACCGAGGAAAACCCCCAGGTGGATCTTCGTAAATCCCCACCCCAATGAAGCTTTCATACTAGGCTACCTCTCTAGGACCGCATATGGTTGTTTCACCGCAGTCCGATTGTGATGGCACACCATTGCAGCTGTAGCATAGTTGAGTGCATTCAGCAGCTGCGAATAAGAAAAGAAATGAAACCAGTTTATCAGCAGACAGGTAAAGAGCCGAATAATTAGATATCTATATAATATTTTCTTTTTATGTAACTTATTATCGTAGCTATCATACATTTTGACTAAATTAGATAATCTGACAACACGCGAACATTGTAAAATGTTTACTTACCGAAATATTTTTATTACATTTCAATGTCCTCAGTTTGTCAAAGCTGTCATTTTGATTAAAACGCTTTATAATGCACTGAAACATGTCTGCGTTTGAAAGAGTCAATATTGCAAAGCTTCTTAGCGACTCGAATGATACTACAGGAATTAATCGACTACATTTTCCTTAAGTACAAAGATACTATCGCGTTATCTATAGGTTAGTTGTTTATGTTATGTGGTGCAAACAGTCGATAAATCCAAAGTTTAAAAGCTCAGCATGAATACTTTTATTTCTTTATTTCTTTTTTTTTTTTATGTTTCATTTTTATTAACCTGCATATATTTTTAACCATGAGTTTAATGTAGTTTTATTATGAAACTGATAAATACCAAATCATTTACTGTTCCAAAATGTTTTCCCAGCACGCAGCTTTTTTGTTTGTGCTTTTTATTTCTTTTTTTTACCACGACCGTTTTATCATGGGTCACTGGACCCCTTGCCAATATTCAGATTCTTTAAAAGAAAAAGTTTTTCGTAGACATAGTTTCATTTTGAGTACACTTATATGTAAGTATGGTTGACTTGTACATTTTAGAAGTATACATATTCAATAACAACAAACACGATAAGGAGCTTTTTTCGTTTTTTGCTTTTTTTTGTTTTGTTTTGTTTTTTGTTTTATTTTTGTTTTTTGTTTTTTGCTTTTGATTTTTTGTTGTTTTTTTTTTTTTCATTATTTAAATTCACAAAGATTTGACAAGAAGTAAGCGTCTGGCTAATACTTATGTAGGACATATACCTGGGTTGGACGAATAAACTATCATAAAAACAATAAGTCACACATTGACAGCAACAGAAACGAGTTAACTCTCCTGTTACATGTTTATCTGGGCTTTATACAACAAAAGCTTAACAAATCACTTGTTGATAGCTATATTCCACTTACACAAACATTGACATTACATTACAATGTCCACTTAACAGTGTTTTCTAAAACGTTAAATTTGTATGGTTTGAGGGATAAGGTTGATTTTAAACAAAGGTAAAACAACAACTTATTTAACCAACCTGTACAAAGCAGTGCCAATACCAAGAGTACTCTCATTTCCAAAATTCAACCTCGACTGAAAAAAATTGTGAAAATATATTTTATCAAAATCACCTCTGTTACATACATTTTTATGAGAAAGATATCTTCATTTCTCAGTCTAGTATTTACAACTGTATGTGTAACCCTGTCATTTATTCCTATCTATATGGTACATATAGAACAAGGTATGTGTGTACGGCATTGTAGATATAGTTGTAGTACTGTTATATATTGATGATAATTATACAGATGTGTAGATATAGTACTGTAATATATTGATGATAATTATACTGATGTGTAGATATAGTACTGTTATATATTGATGATAATTATACTGATGTGTAGATATAGTACTGTTATATATTGATGATAATTATACTGATGTGTAGATATAGTACTGTTATATATTGATGATAATTATACTGGTGTGTAGATATAGTACTGTTATATATTGATGATAATTATACTGATGTGTAGATATAGTACTGTTATATATTGATGATAATTATACTGATGTGTAGATATAGTACTGTTATATATTGATGATAATTATACTGATGTGTAGATATAGATATAGTACTGTTATATATTGATGATAATTATACAGATGTGTAGATATAGATATAGTACTGTTATATATTGATGATAATTATACTGATGTGTAGATATAGTACTGTGATGATAATTATACTGATGTGTAGATATAGTACTGTTATATATTGATGATAATTATACTGATGTGTGTAGATATAGTACTGTTATATATTGATGATAATTATACTGATGTGTAGATATAGTACTGTTATATATTGATGATAATTATACTGATGTGATATAGATATAGTACTGTTATATATTGATGATAATTATACTGATGTGTAGATATAGTACTGTTATATATTGATGATAATTATACTGATGTGTAGATATAGTACTGTTATATATTGATGATAATTATACTGATGTGTGTAGATATAGTACTGTTATATATTGATGATAATTATACTGATGTGTAGATATAGATACTGTTATATATTGATGATAATTATACTGATGTGTAGATATAGTACTGTTATATATTGATGATAATTATACTGATGTGTAGATATAGTACTGTTATATATTGATGATAATTATACTGATGTGTAGATATAGTACTGTTATATATTGATGATAATTATACTGATGTGTAGATATAGTACTGTTATATATTGATGATAATTATACTGATGTGTAGATATAGTACTGTTATATATTGATGATAATTATACTGATGTGTAGATATAGTACTGTTATATATTGATGATAATTATACTGATGTGTAGATATAGTACTGTTATATATTGATGATAATTATACTGATGTGTAGATATAGTACTGTTATATATTGATGATAATTATACTGATGTGTAGATATAGTACTGTTATATATTGATGATAATTATACTGATGTGTAGATATAGTACTGTTATATATGATATTATACTGATGTGTAGATATAGTACTGTTATATATTGATGATAATTATACTGTTATATATGATGATAATTATACTGTGTAGATATAGTACTGTTATATATTGATGATAATTATACTGATGTGTGTAGTAGATATAGTATGTTATATATTGATGATAATTATACTGATGTGTAGATATAGTACTGTTATATATTGATGATAGATATATACTGTTATATATTGATGTGTAGATATAGTACTGTTATATATTGATGATAATTATACTGATGTGTGTAGATATAGTACTGTTATATATTGATGATAATTATACTGATGTGTAGATATAGTACTGCTATATATTGATGATAATTATACTGATGTGTAGATATAGTACTGTTATATATTGATGATAATTATACTGATGTGTAGATATAGTACTGTTATATATTGATGATAATTATACTGATGTGTAGATATAGTACTGTTATATATTGATGATAATTATACTGATGTGTGTACTGTTATATATTGATGATAATTATACTGATGTGTAGATATAGTACTGTTATATATTGATGATAATTATACTGTTATATATGTGATAATTATACTATGTGTAGATATAGTACTGTTATATATTGATGATAATTATACTGATTTGTAGATATAGATATAGTACTGTTATATATTGATGATAATTATACTGATGTGTAGATATAGTACTGTTATATATTGATGATAATTATACTGATGTGTAGATATAGTACTGTTATATATTGATGATAATTATACTGATGTGTAGATATAGTACTGTTATATATTGATGATAATTATACTGATGTGTAGATATAGTACTGATGATAATTATATATATATAGTACTGTTATATATATACTGATGTGTAGATATAGTACTGTTATATATTGATGATAATTATACTGATGTGTAGATATAGTACTGTTATATATTGATGATAATTATACTGATGATATGTACTGTTATATATTGATGATAATTATACTGATGTGTAGATATAGTACTGTTATATATTGATGATAATTATACTGATGTTATATGTTATATATTGATGATAATTATACTGATGTGTAGATATAGATATAGTACTGTTATATATTGATGATAATTATACTGATGTGTAGATATAGTACTGTTATATATTGATGATAATTATACTGATGTGTAGATATAGTACTGTTATATATTGATGATATTATACTGATGATATGTAGTTATATATAGATAATTATACTGATGTGTGTAGATATAGTACTGTTATATATTGATGATAATTATACTGATGTGTGATGTGTAGATATAGTACTGTTATATATTGATGATAATTATACTGATGTGTAGATATAGTACTGTTATATACTGTTATATATTGATGATAATTATACTGATGTGTAGATATAGTACTGTTATATATTGATGATAATTATACTGATGTGTAGATATAGTACTGTTATATATTGATGATAATTATACTGATGTGTAGATATAGTACTGTTATATATTGATGATAATTATACTGATGTGTAGATATAGATATAGTACTGTTATATATTGATGATAATTATACTGATGTGTAGATATAGTACTGTTATATATTGATGATAATTATAATGTGTAGATATAGTACTGATGTGTAGATATAGATATAGTACTGTTATATATTGATGATAATTATACTGATGTGTAGATATAGTACTGTTATATAATGATGATAATTATACAGATGTGTAGATATAGATATAGTACTGTTATATATTGATGATAATTATACTGATGTATAGATATAGTACTGTTATATATTGATGATAATTATACTGATGTGTAGATATAGATATAGTACTGTTATATATTGATGATAATTATACTGATGTGTAGATATAGTACTGTTATATATTGATGATAATTATACTGATGTGTAGATATAGTACTGTTATATATTGATGATAATTATACTGATGTGATATAGATATAGTACTGTTATATATTGATGATAATTATACTGATGTGTAGATATAGTACTGTTATATATTGATGATAATTATACTGATGTGTAGATATCGTACTGTTATATATTGATGATAATTATACTGATGTGTAGATATAGTACTGTTATATATTGATGATAATTATACTGATGTGTAGATATAGTACTGTTATATATTGATGATAATTATACTGATGTGTAGATATAGTACTGTTATATATTGATGATAATTATACTGATGTGTAGATATAGTACTGTTATATATTGATGATAATTATACTGATGATATATAGATATAGTACTGTTATATATTGATGATAATTATACTGATGTGTAGATATAGTACTGTTATATATTTGATAATTATATGATGTGTAGATATATACTGTTATATATGTGTAGATATAGATATAGTACTGTTATATATTGATGATAATTATACTGATGTGTAGATATAGTACTGTTATATATTGATGATAATTATACTGATGTGTAGATATAGTACTGTTATATACTGTTATATGAATTGATGATAATTATACTGTTATATATTGATGATGTAGATATAGTACTGTTATATATTGATGATAATTATACTGATGTGTAGATATAGTACTGTTATATATTGATGATAATTATACTGATGTGTAGATATAGATATATTAATGTTATATATTGATGATAATTATATTGATGATAATTATACATGTAGATATAGTACTGTTATATATTGAAATAATTATACTGATGTGTAGATATAGATATAGATACTGTTATATAAAAATGATAATTATACTGAAATGTGTAGATATAGAATTTGTATATATATTGCCAATATGAATTGTTTTGTTTGAGACATACCTGATATACGTAAAAAGCTCGAATCTCCAGTGTCAAATGTAAAGGTCAACGCGTGTGATCGAATTTCATGACCAAGTCGGCCCTTATCTTATACTAATGCATTTACTAGCGTGGGAAATACGTGACACCGACGGCTGTATTTGTATAATGTAAGGATATATTGTCAATGAATGTTCCAAAATGTTTTGATGTTTAGAATTAAATAACAATAATAAAAATGGCAAAATGATGTGTCTCTGTGATTTTGTTGTAAATAAAACTACAAAGAAGATAACGAAATTTTTCAGACTTTTGTCATTAAGTTAATTACCATGAAACTATGTCAAAATTTGTGCAAAGGCATACATGGACAACCTTGGTGAAGTATAAGGATAACAATATCATATGTTCCGCAAGGATATGCGTTTTATATTTCATCAATTACATCCGCCATATAAATCTTTGAACATTTAAGTAAATAATGTCATGTTTTACAAAATAAGAACAAAGGAAATGCAATGCCTGTCGATGAGCATCACACACATACTACTTAATGTGAAATAAGATCATAAACTTGAGAACAGAAAAGAGAAAAAAAATAATATCATCGATGAAACTACGGTAAACATGAAAAAATGGCGGATTTACACGGAACTTTTTGAACACCTTCTAGTATATTACATGTTGAGGAAAGGTTCGTCTCTTTGTTCGTTATGCAATCATGACACCGTAAATGACATGGGATCTATCGGTTTGACTCCTTTTTACTCTCCAACACTTCAGGCACTAAGCATCAGTCATTACATGTTTTAAACTAATTTCAATTTCATGTTATTCGCGTATTTTTTCTAACAATTCTTTTTCCAAATTGAAATTTTACTATAATTTCAATGACTTTTGAAGTTAAGGGAACGATGTCTATACACTGGATGTAAGCGTTCCAGATAAATCTAAAAATGAAACTTTGATATACATCATTCTTATTTTTTGTAATATGGCACAAGGAATTTAAAATCTAACATATTTTACAGATTTCATTAGGAAACATCTATATTTATAAAATCAATTACTCCATCGCTAACGAAATGATCATTGCATTTGAATTTGGGTTGTCGGGTGGCGCAGTGGTAACGCACTAGCCTTTCACCTAGCCGACCGGGCCCCACTTGTATAAAACATCTCAACTTGAGATTTCCTCAAAACGAGATTTTCCTCTGCTGATATCTCCTCAAAAACGGCTTGTATAAAATTTTCTCAAGGAACAGGAGGAAGTCCTCGGCTAGGATGTCCTGAAATTCCTTGAGGAATTTTCATACAAGATATTTTCAAGGAGATATTAGCTGAGGAAAATCTGGGCTTGAGGAAATCTCAAGTTGAGATGTTTTATACAAGTGGGGCCGGGGATCAATTCCCGGAACGGACGTGAAAAGGTAAGGGATCACCTGCCCGACCATGTGGGTTTTCCCCGGGTACTCCGGTTTCCTCCCACAATAAGACCCCTCGCGCGCTTACATCCGGGCCAGCAAGAGTGATTAGTATAAGTTAACATAACTTGTTTTTTAACTATTTTAAAAATAAAAAATAAAAAGTTATATTTATATTTGAATTTGGAATAAATTCACCTAGTGCACATTGCTGATTGGGAAAACATCTTTGTCACATTCGTCTCATTTGCCTTCAGCATAGTCCATTGAAAACACGATTGACTAAAAACATAAACAGTTGAACACATGTAGCAAGTTGCTTTTCTCTAATGCCATGCGTCTGACCTTTTTGCACCTATCTCTCGTAGACATTCCATAATGTATCTTTTGACTGTTTTTGCAAAAACTGCATATTTCACTCATGTAATTTTGTTTGGGTTGATGTCATATATGTCTAACCATCAGAATACAAAATAACCAGCACCAATATAATATGTTACCGTCTCAATAAAACCGTAGGAGACCCACTTATAATCTGCTATGAAAAAAATACAACACACAAAGAAAATGAAACAATGTTTTATTTCTTACGTTTCTGAAGTTTCTTCATAATTAAAGCTTCCCTTCGATTAGTATTAATCTTGATTGTGATCTGAAATCAAAAATTTCGAAAATGAAAAATTACAATCCTAGAAACATGTACAATAACAATTGAAGAAATCTGACTACGTCAGAGAGAGGAATTTTTATAACCTACAACCGTAAAGAAAACAAATCTGCATATGAATTTTTGAATAGATAAGATAATTTTATGATTACTTTTGATATTTAATGATATAAATTAATATCAAATTATTGCTGCAGACTGAAAACCTTGATATCATTAACAATGAAATACATTCAGATATATGATTATAGCATCAATATGATTCTAGATATTGGAGTTGGGAGGAATATTCATCTCATACGTGAACTATGAAAAAAATTCTTCTTATTATTTATCTTAAATCTTAAAAATCTTACAAAAATCTGTGATGTGTTTTATAAATTGAAATTCATTTTGAAAATTTGAAATCACGTCATATTCATTTTGAAAATTTGATATCACGTCATATTCGTTTTGAAAATTTGAAATCACGTCATATTCGTTTTGAAAATTTGATATCACGTCATATTCGTTTTGAAAATTTGAAATCACGTCATATTCATTTTAAAAATTTGAAATCACGTCATATTCATTTTAAAAATTTGAAATCACGTCATATTCGTTTTGAAAATTTGAAATCACGTCATATTCATTTTAAAAATTTGAAATCACGTCATATTCATTTTAAAAATTTGAAATCACGTCATATTCATTTTAAAAATTTGAAATCACGTCATATTCATTTTGAAAATTTGAAATGTTGATATTGCAGTCATATAAGCATATTTTATGGAAAGACAGCTATTGGAATATTTGTATAGAATTTATAATCTCTTGCAACGTGTGCAAATGGCTATTTTCTAATCATTTTGCCGACATTATTTTTAGTATTTTTAACACAATTAATCCTGATTACATAAAACTTTTTTTTTTATTTTTGTTTCTTCTCCTCATGCTCACAATCACATTTGTATATGACACTTCACGTTTACTTTGAGCCTTTAGTACCTCTATCTTTATTAAACCTTTTTATGATAAAATAATGACGTCATTTATGCCATTTTGGAAATACATGCAGCAATATCCTTTTTTATGATTTCATTACGTCGTTATTTCAGAACGTCATATACCGTATCAATTAATGACCGAAGAACGATTCATTTATTCTCAATCTTCATGTTTAAATTAACTGTATAGACATAGCAATATGTTCAGAAAATGATGTAACTTCCAAGTGTTGCCAATCTTTTGGGACACTGAATTCATCTGCAAACTTTAGCAATGTATAATATATCTAACACCTCCACTATTTACAATTTTGTGGCACGTATCACTGAAGCAAAACACGATAAAATATAATTAGCATCAAGCATTACTTTCTGAATATATTTTTCGCTATCAGAAAATATTACCTAAACCTCCAAAATATGTATAAAAAATCATACAAATCCCGGAAAATTTAACATGTTAAGGGGATTATGTGTTAAGGAAACCAATTCCCAGGAACTTACTCCGTCTTGTTGCTCCGCAAAGCGCTACGTTACAAAAATTCGTATCACAACAACTCGTGCAATAGGAGCCATCAGAGTGATTCAGGTTAAATACATCACAAACCTAAAAAGAAGTTTTAGAAGATGTAGCTGTTTGTTACTCCAAGCAATAAGATATATGACACATACTATTGTACTAAAGCATATTTCTTTGGAACATGTTCTTCATGTCGATAGAGTTGTAGGAGATTAGAGTCAGTGCTAGGACGATAGACACTGGTCATATGTCTGATGAAGGTGACCGTGTAGTCATAGAATCGTCACACTCTAATCTTCTACTGGTTGTGTTATAAGATGAAGGTGACCTTGTAGTCATAGAAACGTCACACTCTAATCTTCTACAGGTTATGTTGTAAGATGAAGGTGACTGTGTAGTCACAGTCACACTCTAATCATCCACTGGTTATGTTGTAAAATATGAAAGTGACCGTGTAGTCACAGAAACGTCACACTCTAAATTTCTACTGGTTATGTTGTAAAATGAAAGTAACCGTGTAGTCATAGAAACGCCACACTCTGATCTTCTACTGGTTGAGGTGTAAGATGAAAGTGACCGTGTAGTCATAGAAACGTCACTCTCTAATCTTACTGGTTGTGTAATCACATGACGGTGACCGAGTAGTCACAGAAACGTCACACTCTAATTTTCTATCGGTTGTGTTATAAGATGAAGGTGACCGAGTAGTCACAGAAACGTCACACTCTAATTTTCTATCGGTTGTGTTATAAGATGAGGGTGACCGAGTAGTCACAGAAACGTCACACTCTAATTTTCTATCGGTTGTGTTATAAGATGAAGGTGACCGAGAAGTCACAGAAACGTCACACTCTAATTTTCTATCGGTTGTGTTATAAGATGAAGGTGACCGAGAAGTCACAGAAACGTCACACTCTAATTTTCTATCGGTTGTGTTATAAGATGAAGGTGACCGAGTAGTCACAGAAACGTCACACTCTAATTTTCTACTGGTTGTGCATTAAACCTCAAGATTCATCCGCAATATCTATAATCTTGTAATTACTATGAGATTTGATTGATCGATGCAAGTTCATTTTTAAATAACGTATTATATTAGTGTTTCCAAATCAACCTGTATTGCGTCAAATCAATTTTGAATACGTGTATGTGAACTTTAAAATCTATAACATAATGACCTACTCTCTTGTCTGTACATCCCAAGGTGTATAGGATTGCAGCAGTAGGCCCGGATTGCATCTGAACTGTTGAGCAACTCTGAAATAATCAAATCGGCGTTATTTCAAATGATTTAATATAAAATTTATTCAAATTTGAGGATATTCATCACTCCATCCGGGTTTTTTTTTTTTTTTTGGGGGGGGGGGGTTTGTTTTTATTTTTTTGGGGGGGGGGGGGTAAAGACATATTTAAAGTACACTCTGAGGTCGACCTACCTGATCAACACTATAGACATATATAAAGTACACTCTGAGGTCGACCGACCTGATCAACACTATAGACATATATAGAGTACACTCTGAGGTCGACCCACCTGATCAACACTATAGACATATATAGAGTACACTCTGAGGTCGACCCACCTGATCAACACTACGGATATATATAAAGTACACTCTGAGGTCGACCCACCTGATAACTGTTACAAACGTCCACACTGAAACAATCCGATGGACGATTCACAGCCCTACAGCTGTAACAGTATTTGTTCCCGTGTTCAGCTGAGAAATAAAGAAATAATACAATACAAAGCTGTCAATCTTGAACCTTATTATGGTCAGGATATTCTATCTACTAAGCTGTCAATCTTGAACCTTATTATGGTCAGGATATTCTATTTACTAAGCTGTCAATCTTGAACCTTATTATGGTCAGGATATTCTATTTACTAAGCTGTCAATCTTGAACCTTATTATGGTCAGGATATTCTATTTACTAAGCTGTCAATCTTGAACCTTATTATGGTCAGGATATTCTATTTACTAAGCTGTCAATCTTGAACCTTATTATGGTCAGGATATTCTATTTACTAAGCTGTCAATCTTGAACCTTATTATGGTCAGGATATTCTATTTACTAAGCTGTCAATCTTGAACCTTATTATGGTCAGGATATTCTATTTACTAAGCTGTCAATCTTGAACCTTATTATGGTCAGGATATTCTATTTACTAAGCTGTCAATCTTGAACCTTATTATGGTCAGGATATTCTATTTACTAAGCTGTCAATCTTGAACCTTATTATGGTCAGGATATTCTATTTACTAAGCTGTCAATCTTGAACCTTATTATGGTCAGGATATTCTATTTACTAAGCTGTCAATCTTGAACCTTATTATGGTCAGGATATTCTATTTACTAAGCTGTCAATCTTGAACCTTATTATGGTCAGGATATTCTATTTACTAAGCTGTCAATCTTGAACCTTATTATGGTCAGGATATTCTATTTACTAAGCTGTCAATCTTGAACCTTATTATGGTCAGGATATTCTATTTACTAAGCTGTCAATCTTGAACCTTATTATGGTCAGGATATTCTATTTACTAAGCTGTCAATCTTGAACCTTATTATGGTCAGGATATTCTATTTACTAAGCTGTCAATCTTGAACCTTATTATGGTCAGGATATTCTATTTACTAAGCTGTCAATCTTGAACCTTATTATGGTCAGGATATTCTATTTACTAAGCTGTCAATCTTGAACCTTATTATGGTCAGGATATTCTATTTACTAAGCTGTCAATCTTGAACCTTATTATGGTCAGGATATTCTATTTACTAAGCTGTCAATCTTGAACCTTATTATGGTCAGGATATTCTATTTACTAAGCTGTCAATCTTGAACCTTATTATGGTCAGGATATTCTATTTACTAAGCTGTCAATCTTGAACCTTATTATGGTCAGGATATTCTATTTACTAAGCTGTCAATCTTGAACCTTATTATGGTCAGGATATTCTATTTACTAAGCTGTCAATCTTGAACCTTATTATGGTCAGGATATTCTATTTACTAAGCTGTCAATCTTGAACCTTATTATGGTCAGGATATTCTATTTACTAAGCTGTCAATCTTGAACCTTATTATGGTCAGGATATTCTATTTACTAAGCTGTCAATCTTGAACCTTATTATGGTCAGGATATTCTATTTACTAAGCTGTCAATCTTGAACCTTATTATGGTCAGGATATTCTATTTACTAAGCTGTCAATCTTGAACCTTATTATGGTCAGGATATTCTATTTACTAAGCTGTCAATCTTGAACCTTATTATGGTCAGGATATTCTATTTACTAAGCTGTCAATCTTGAACCTTATTATGGTCAGGATATTCTATTTACTAAGCTGTCAATCTTGAACCTTATTATGGTCAGGATATTCTATTTACTAAGCTGTCAATCTTGAACCTTATTATGGTCAGGATATTCTATTTACTAAGCTGTCAATCTTGAACCTTATTATGGTCAGGATATTCTATTTACTAAGCTGTCAATCTTGAACCTTATTATGGTCAGGATATTCTATTTACTAAGCTGTCAATCTTGAACCTTATTATGGTCAGGATATTCTATTTACTAAGCTGTCAATCTTGAACCTTATTATGGTCAGGATATTCTATTTACTAAGCTGTCAATCTTGAACCTTATTATGGTCAGGATATTCTATTTACTAAGCTGTCAATCTTGAACCTTATTATGGTCAGGATATTCTATTTACTAAGCTGTCAATCTTGAACCTTATTATGGTCAGGATATTCTATTTACTAAGCTGTCAATCTTGAACCTTATTATGGTCAGGATATTCTATTTACTAAGCTGTCAATCTTGAACCTTATTATGGTCAGGATATTCTATTTACTAAGCTGTCAATCTTGAACCTTATTATGGTCAGGATATTCTATTTACTAAGCTGTCAATCTTGAACCTCATTATGGTCAGGATATTCTATTTACTAAGCTGTCAATCTTGAACCTCATTATGGTCAGGATATTCTATTTACTAAGCTGTCAATCTTGAACCTCATTATGGTCAGGATATTCTATTTACTAAGCTGTCAATCTTGAACCTTATTATGGTCAGGATATTCTATTTACTAAGCTGTCAATCTTGAACCTTATTATGGTCAGGATATTCTATCTACTAAGCTGTCAATCTTGAACCTTATTATGGTCAGGATATTCTATTTACTAAGCTGTCAATCTTGAACCTTATTATGGTCAGGATATTCTATTTACTAAGCTGTCAATCTTGAACCTTATTATTGTCAGGATATTCTATTTACTAAGCTGTCAATCTTGAACCTTATTATGGTCAGGATATTCTATTTACTAAGCTGTCAATCTTGAACCTTATTATGGTCAGGATATTCTATCTACTAAGCTGTTGATTCGTCTTTTATTTACTTTACATTTATTCAATTATTTATTTATTGATTTATTCAATTCTCTAATCATTATTTCATATCTATCTTAATACAAGCTGTAATCAAAGTGTTCTTTTAAATTTTACAGAAAAAAAACCCATTCATATGACATGTTTGCATAATATTAGCATGAAATTACATTTGCAAAATATCAATCCGTTTTGTTAATTAATAGACCGAAAATGTTTTAAAACCATCATGGCATCTCGCATACCATACCGATTTCCATATATTCAAACTTTCCAAAATGTTCTTTTGTCTTGTATATATATATGTTGTTTTTTTATCTATTTATTCATTTTTCTTTCTTTCTTTTTTATTTTTTGTATTTTTTGTATATTCATGTTTGTATTATGTATTTACACAATCAGTATTACATAATTGCTCGACGCCATTGCTCTTGAGATTAAAAATAAATTTACAATTGCAAAGATTCATGTTATTTCCTGATATTTGCTCTGTTAATTAATTCTGTCTAAATGACGCTTCATTTCCATGTAATTTCCGTTATAATGATATATCGTTGAGTTGAAATGTAACTTAATTACCACGTTTGAAGCCGAAGGAAAATTTTTAATTGATGCTAAGAGGGATGAAAGGAATAGTGAAATAAACGTTTTGAATACGAAGAAGGAGAATGTAACAGAAATAATATCAAGAAATCATGATTAGAAAAAGACATCATCTCTGAAAATGATTACGTAGTGCACATAATTTCCTGTTACAACCGCAGCTGGAGGTGTCTTGATCCGTACAGCCCATCGCATCTGCGTCACAACACTCGTTACACAACGCCCTCTCGTGGCTTCTTTTTTTACGACCGATAACTCCCGAAGATGTTAAGCTATTACACTGTAAACAAGAATTATGAATGGTTAGCTCCTCCTGTCTACATCAAAAGAATCTTGTGTTGACATTTCTTAAAGTCTACTTCTTTTAAGGTGTTAGGTTTAGATTGAATTTTGTAACTTTGCTCAAGTTTTGCCACATTAGTTTTACTCAGAGTGTTCGCCGCTATTTTTTATAATATACTTCTTATTTTCTTCATAAATATTTGAAAAAAAATGTAGAAATGTTGTTTCGGTATCCACGTATATTTTATATTTTGTCGAATGAGTCCACTATAGGGATTCTGTTCAGACACATAATGATGACGTTTAACACACTTAACTTACCGTTGTAACCGGACTACATCCAAAATGATGACGTTTAACACACTTAACTTACCGTTGTAACCGGACTACATCCAAAATGATGACGTTTAACACACTTAACTTACCGTTGTAACCGGACTACATCCAAAATGATGACGTTTAACACACTTAACTTACCGTTGTAACCGGACTACATCCAAAATGATGACGTTTAACACACTTAACTTACCGTTGTAACCGGACTACATTCAAAATGATGACGTTTAACACACTTAACTTACCGTTGTAACCGGGCTACATCCAAAATGATGACGTTTAACACACTTAACTTACCGTTGTAACCAAACTACATCCAAAATGATGACGTTTAACACACTTAACTTACCGTTGTAACCGGACTACATCCAAAATGATGACGTTTAACACACTTAACTTACCGTTGTAACCGGACTACATCCAAAATGATGACGTTTAACACACTTAACTTACCGTTGTAACCGGACTACATCCAAAATGATGACGTTTAACACACTTAACTTACCGTTGTAACCGGACTACATCCAAAATGATGACGTTTAACACACTTAACTTACCGTTGTAACCGGGCTACATCCAAAATGATGACGTTTAACACACTTAACTTACCGTTGTAACCGGGCTACATCCAAAATGATGACGTTTAACACACTTAACTTACCGTTGTAACCGGACTACATCCAAAATGATGACGTTTAACACACTTAACTTACCGTTGTAACCGGACTACATCCAAAATGATGACGTTTAACATACTTAACTTACCGTTGTAACCGGGCTACATCCAAAATGATGACGTTTAACATACTTAACTTACCGTTGTAACCGGGCTACATCCAAAATGATGACGTTTAACATACTTAACTTACCGTTGTAACGGGCTTACATCCAAAATGATGACGTTTAACATACTTAACTTACCGTTGTAACCGGGCTACATCCAAAATGATGACGTTTAACATACTTAACTTACCGTTGTAACGGGCTTACATCCAAAATGATGACGTTTAACATACTTAACTTACCGTTGTAACCGGGCTACATCCAAAATGATGACGTTTGACATACTTAACTTACCGTTGTAACGGGCTTACATCCAAAATCAAAAGTAACATTTCCGGCATTGCTTACTGTTCTTCTGGTGTAACAAACCTGCAATGTATGTATATATAATTATTTTAAAATAAAAATTATTTTAGAATATTTTTGTACCTCAGTTGCAATAGACAAGGAGCTCCACAATGGTCTATGAAATTATCACTTTTCATGTTACTTTGTTGTAAAATTCGTGGACTTTCGCTTATTTTTTGGAAAGAAAATCATGATATCTTGAAAAGAACACTTATATTTTGGAGAAATAGAAACAAATCATAGTCTACTTCTGTAAATGTCGAAAAAACACACATAGATAAACAGTCTGTTTCTACATTCAAGATTTCATATCTTGATACTTGATAGGCAGGAAAACCATTCGTTTTGAGAACCGTCTTTCCGATGACGCCATACCGAATTGTCCGCGCAGTCCCTCATTGTGTTACAATCTTCCTTCCTTGATACCCCCATACAAGAATAGCAAGACTGTTTACCTGCTACCACTGAGAAGTAAACATTTACCATCTCATTACTTTTAATGCCTTTTCATTCACTTCGTTGTCTATATACATTTTCGTTGCATCCGTATTTACATTACTCTGCGAATTCCAATTTTTGTCAAAAAATTCAGAAAGTTATGTTTTCTTATAAATGTGGAATTGCATATTTCGTAAGGTTCAAATTAAGTATTTTCCAAAACAGTATGATATTAAATACTTTGAGATGGCACTTGATTTCGTTAATAAATCTGTTTTCACCAATAATATAATATATGACAACTTTATCATTTGGTGGACATATAAATTCGTGGTTTTATATAATCCACAAAATAAATGAAAATAAATCTCCAACGAAAAAAAACTTGTACTCAGTATTCGTCTATTAATATCTGAGGAAACTGACATACACAAGTACCTGTTATCACTGCAAATACGGCAAGAAGAAGTTCCATCTTCCTGGAAATAATATGCTAACATTGATACAAATACTGTCGAGTCTCGTTATCTCGAAGTCGGCGGGACAGTGTAAAACTTCGAGAAATCCGAGGATTTGATTTAAATAAAGTTCAAAATCAAACTTTTCGAGTTTTATCGGGTCTTCGAGTGAAAAGAGTTCTAGATAAGGAGGTTTCAACACTGTAAATTATATAAAACATATCTATATTTGATGTTTTATTACGTTATCGGGTTATTTTTAATTGATGACATGCGATCCATTTCAATATTTATCTTCTAATTGAATTTACTTGGAAAATAAAAGTAAGTATCAGATTAAAATACAAAAGGAATGAAGTCCAACAAAATCTAATGTCAAAACATTAGGTAGCAGGAAACAGTTAACTTGCATTTTCCTGAAATTATTGGTCATGTTTGAGATATACAGGTATAGCAGTTATGAAAAATACATCATCACATGTATATATATTTATAAACTACATGACAATTACATTAATAACAGAAAGATAAAATTTGTGTAAAAAAATTTCCTCTGATTTCTGACATGTGATTACTATGGTTACCTACTGAAAAAATGCTAAAGATGTCAAAATACTGCTAATTCCAACCTAACAGTACAACTTGATAGAAGAAATTTATTTCTTAACAACTGTCTTAAAATCAACAACTCTATCATGGTAACAAACTACTTACATTTCAACAAATTCCAACTCGGAAATCCTTCATAACATGACCACATGTAAACACTTTGAAAATTTCACTTCCTGTAAAGCTGATTTTTGGTAAATAGACACAGATTCGAGACTGCCCAAATAGTAATCTCAACCACAAAGCTAAAATATTATTCTGAAAAAAATAAAACCCCACATTGTCCACTTCAATATGACATGACCAATGTTACCAAGGATTTATTTTTGAAATTATAATTAAAACCAAGATAATCTAATGAACAAAAATATTAACCATGACCACACCGAGAAACTGTGTACTGCTACCTTAACTAATGACATACAGCTATCCTTTCGCAAGAACAAGAAAAATGCAGTAATATGTTCAAAAGGATAAGCGTATCTTGCTTCATCGAAAAATTGTATGTGTTAGTTATTCCGCGCATAGATAAAATCGTGGATTTAGAATACTAACGATTTAAACGAAAATAAATCTCCCATGGAAACTAACGATACATCAGAATACTTCATATTAAAATCACTGTACAAGGAAATAGTAATAACGTTAATTCAATTGAAGGAAAACATGTGACCAAAAGCAACGCTTACGAGAGAGAAAAAAAATCGCGTTCACTCAAACGCTTAATCTCTATTGACGTAAATAATGTAGCATTAAGAGTCTGGTTGAGCAAAAATACAAAAAAGTTAATCATGAAATATCAGTTTGAAAAAAACACACACTCATAGGCAGTGAAGATAATATCTCGCTTGAACTCTTTCTAACATCCTCCAAATCACTGAAAAAAGACCCAACCCAAATATCATATTAACCATCGAAAATAATTTAGAGAGAGCACCTGTGTATTTACGGACCAAGGTGTTCCGCAAGGGTAATCGATTTTGTCAATAAAAGTCAAATACCTACATCATGAGAAAGATGAAGATTATGAATTTTCAATTTAGATACGAAACAGAACCGCTGTACTTACATTGGAGTTGGAAATGATCTTAATAGAAACGTAACGTTATCTTTCGAATTGTGAGAATTGTACACGGTCTTATCAGCATCACGGTCGTCTTATCGTTTTGGGAGTAGAACTCTCAACGAAACATGTGGATCGTTATCATTTGATTTCAGAGTCAATGACATTTTGATTTCTGTATGTAGCTTTAACAGAGAACAGCACTTAACTGTTTTGTATAAACACACCGGTTTTGGTTTTATTTTTGGGTTTTGTTTGTTTGTTGTTATTTTTCAGTCATTTGTTTGTTATTGTTTATATATTCCGTCAGAGAAAATAACAAACGATTAGTCTACAATGATGTCTAAACTCTTCGATTGACCTCTTGAGTAATGACCTTTTGTTTTCTTATCACTATCTACACCATTCTCAGTCGCCTTACTGACAAGCTTATCACTAAGAAACAAAGGGAAGTAACTCTGGTGGAACTACTGTATAAATGCGCTTTCACATTGGATATGGATGTGCAGAAACAACACCAGTGTTTAAGTATTATCTATCCTTGTGTAATCTTAAGTTTCTTGATATCTAATGCATTTCTGACAGTTTATATCTTGATAGAGCTTCAGACTTTACGTGTAAATTTTTATAAATTACAACAGGATGTCGTTGATAACTCTCTTCGTATCCAGACTTGTTCCTCAGCTTCAGAATCGGTAAGTATCCCAAAGTATTTATGAGAAATAAATCAGAATTTTAAAAAATTCACATGTAGAAAATGTTACATACAAAAAAAACCTGTTTTACTTTCGTTCATAGTACATCATAAATGATTTATAGACATGAGAGTCCATTGTTCTAGCTATTGGATGTTTGACCTTTGACCTTTTTTAAATTTTATTTACAACAATTGCGAAACAAGTTATGTTAACTTATACTAATCACTCTTGCTGGCCTGGATGTAAGCGCGCTAGGGGTCTTATTGTTGGAGGAAACCGGAGTACCCGGAAAAAACCCATGTGGTCGGGCAGGTGACCCCTTACCTTTCCACGTCCGTTCCAAGAATCGAACCCCTATCGGCTAGGTGAAAGGCAAGTGCGTTACCACTGCGCCAGCCGACCTCTATTATGTTGATGCTATCAATCGATAGAAACATATCCATTTGTATATATCCCTGATCAGACATATAAAATCGTGTCTGAGTTTTCATTTTAATTCATAAATCGAGTCTAGCGAGCTAATTTGAGCTGGAAAGTTTCGTGAATATCATGTTTGAGTTTATTGACCCGTGAACACAAACGCCCAGGATCATTTGAGATGGAATTTTCTTGTGATAGCTGGTTTTTTCCTCAATGAACGACATAAGAGAGGGCGGCCGCGTACCATATATAGAATGTGACTTGCACAAAGACACAACTACGTCAGTATAGACCGACCCGTTTCCCAGCTTTCAATTCTGATATCAAACGGAATCGAATTTACGATTCGTTTTATCACGTGATTCAATCATTTTGCTAATGTCACAGAAAACACGGTTTCCAGTGTCATCCTTGAAAAACCGTTCACTCCACTGCGATTGTCTTCATTGTGACGTCATAACGTAATCTGAAAAGTGTGACATTCAATATTTAATGACATCACAATACGTCATATTGTACTAGTAAAACACACAAAAATGTTACCAACACTTTTCTTAAATCTTTGCTGTATCTATGTTTTCCATGAAAGTTTGTGTTTCCTGGGAAGCTCAGAAGCTTTGTGCTCCCGTATGCTGTTCATTGAGAGAGTCACCGGCTACTACTTAAAATAACACTATTGTTTTGGATTTATTAATTATTTTATTGCAGAATGTTTGTACAATAGGATTGGACACAAGTTTTACCAACTTATCAAGCCCTCTCCATTACATAGTTTATACACCAATACTTAAACAACAAGAAATGTAACAATATATATATAATATTTTTTTATTGAAACAAAAGGGAGGGGCTGAAGAGAAGGAAGGAGAATAGGTAAGGAGGGAAGAAGGGAATATATAGTGCAAAGGAGAGATTGGCTCTGAATAGGTCATAATTGAGTGATCTTGCTCTATTTCTCAAACGACAATGAAGAATATTTAGCTGACGAGGACCATATGATAAAAACGCACGATTTAAGCTTGTTGGTGCTTCTTGTACATAGTTTGGTTTTTAAACAAATTCAGTAAACCAACAGTTTCTAAAGACTCATCTAATCCATTCCAGAGTTCAGTTGTAGAAGGGAAAATGAATTACACATAGATTGAAGACGGTAAGTTGGCTGTCGTACTGATCTGAGTTTCTTAAGTTATACCTAGTGAGACTGCCAATAGGTTCAGGAAGAAAATCAGTGAGGAAAGATGGCGTAGTTCCATTAATTATAGTATAAAAAAAGGAGAACTTTCGATGTCGATGTCTTAATTTAAGTTCCTCCCAACCCGTTTCTCTTAATAGTAAGTCAGATCTGATAAATATGGGTAAATCAGTCACAATTCGGGCTGTCTCTAGTTTTTTTCGATATTTGATGACATAATAACTCCACAATTATCCCATACTTCGCAAGCTTATTCTAATAATGGCCCTATGGACGCGAGATGCATTTTTACAAAGTGTGTCTATTAAGAATTAATTTTAAACTACCTAGGACACAAAGCACAACAAATATAAAAACGATACTTATTGATCATGAAGAGGACAACATATTTTTCAGAGTAACAATGTCAGAGATTCAGAGGCCATTTTACGTGAAGGGAGACAACTGGCATCACATGATTTGATATCAGAATTATTACAGTCCCAGGTATGTTTCAAGGTGTTAACTGTATTTAAATAATTAACATATTATTTCTGTTTACTTATATGGATTACACGACTGAACAAATTTGGTAAAAGTCAATAGCTGAAGTCTTAACTTAATAAGAA